ACCCTCATCCTAGAGATCTTCAGGACCTGATTGGCCACAGTCCAAAGCACAACTGCCACAGGGCCATGATTGGATGCTGGCTGAAGACTTGGAAGAGAAAACATTGCCAGTGGGAAATGTGGCAAAGATTTCCAGAGGCGCCGTAGCTTCTAGAATGACATACACCTATATTCACTGACATCAGTGATTAATGTGTGGAAGTGGGTATCTCAGCCTTGAGACTGTAGACCTGATAAGAAGGTACATCATGGCCAGACCACATGGCTGGAATGCATTCAAGGAGAAGAAACTGTTTTTAGGAGCCTTGTGACCATAAAAGGATAATTTAAGGGATGGGATGTTCCCCAAATGACCACCAGAAACTCTCAAGAGACCCCTACTCTAATGTAACTAAGTTCTGAGAATTAATTTAAATATATAAAACAATTTGTGAGAATGCTCAGCATATATACATGAGTTTCAGGAAATACAGTGAATATGTATTAGTGACATAGATATAAACTAGTGGTTTAGATGCCTGGGTATGCACATGTTGGGAGGAGTGATCCCCCACACCCGATGCCAAAATAAAGTAACACCTGCTTTCTAATTACAATTAGAATTACAATCTAATTACAATGTGAGAGAGTTTTATTTTCCTGAAGTTTTCAGTGATGGAGGAGTGAGCAGAAGTGCTGCCTGGGACTGCCGTGCCTGTGCAGCCCAGCCAAGTGCCCCACACCTCCCACCACTCGGGAGCCAGAGCTCTCTGCTGAAGGTGGCCTGAGTGCAGACAGAAATGCAGCAGAACAAAACCCCTTTGTTTTCCCACAAGTTGTCATTCCTTGTTAAAAAGTGCTGCACAGTTCTAGAATCATAGAATCATAGAATCATAGAATCAGCTGGGTTGGAAGGGACCTTCGAGATCATCAAGTCCAACCCTTGATCCACTACTGGTAGGAGAAAGAGCCCGCAGCACAGTGGGTGCCATCCCCTGCCTAGCCAGGGCTCTCTGGCAGAGCAGCAGCAGTGCCAGCCCCTTTCAGCCCTCACTCTTCCTTGGCTTCACCTGAGAAGCCATGAGCCTCTGTATGTCAGCACAGCCAGTCACATTCCCAGGCTGGATCAGTTCCTGCTGGCGGGCAAAGCCTGGCCGTTTGACTGCTTCCAAAAAGTAGTAAATGCAGAGGTACAGACATACATACAGAGGAGCCCTGGGACTACCCAGTAAATGTGCAAATATATGGAGGATGTTTTTTGAAATTATTACAGGTCTCATGGTGATAGTGCCTTCTCTGCTAGTTCTGTGCAATTCATTGGACCATTTGCTGACCTCCAGCAGTCACCCCCAGCTGTGTTCCCTGGTTGCTGTTCGTTCCATCTCAAAGCACTGTTGCATGGACTCCTGAGTTCCAGCTTTCACGCTGGAGCACAAAGCCATGTTGTTCCTCCCGAGTGGATGTTCTGTCTCCATTTCACTGTGCCTTGGAGCATCCACATATGCTAAGAAGTACAACTTAGAAAGCAGGGAATAGAATGGGTTGCAAACTGCTGTGTGTGAGCAGGCTGCTAGAGTTTTCTGTTCTTTTAGTTTGAAGAAACAGTGCATTTTCTGAACAAAGGATGATGTGTGATTAGCAGGGCTTTGGGAGTGCTTTTTCTAAGGCATTGCATGTCTTTGCAATCATTTCCTGATCCCCAATCTAGAAGAAAATTCAGTCTCCCACTGCAATTTTAAAGCTCCAAGGTTATGATGTGGAAAAAGTTATGGCTGTAGATCCAAAGAAGTTGCACATCACATGCATCTAATCAAGCATTTCTTGAGGATTGTCCCAACTTTCAGCCTGACATACACAGAGCATTTGCGTTAGGACAATACCCAATCTCCCAGAAGTTGCAGTCTGAGTTTGACCAGCTGCTCTCTCCACTGCAATTTGTGGGCTCATGCACTGACTGGTGGTGGTCCTGCAGCTGGAAAACCCCCAAAGCTTGGAAAGAACTTGTGTAGAGCTATTCAAAAATGCTTAACATGGCTTCAAAACTGGACACATGGCAAAAGCCCAGATCTCTCTCTATTCTTTTTATTGAGAAAGGAAATTGCAGGTGATTTTTCCAGCCACCTGCTGTTAATTTCAGGAGGGAGAAGAAAACTGGTTTCAAAGCAAGAGGAGGGGGAAGGATGCTACCAAATTTGGAATGGTTGTGGCTTTGCTGATTGCCTGAGGCCTGCCGATCACCTGATCTCTTTGACCTCTGCCTCGTTGCTCCCACCTTTGATGGGACTTATCCATTTTGGCCCACTGGTTTCCTCCTGCCACCACCTTCTATGTTTTCCCACATTCTGTTTTAAATTTCTTTCTTCTTTCCTTTCCTTCTGACCATTCCAGCTCCATCCCTGCGGCTCACAAATGAGCCCAGGAAAGCTCCCAGAAGTGACTCACAGGCCCCAGATGCTACTTTGAGATGCCATAGCAAGGCAGCAACAGGTTGATATGTGTGCAGCAGGTTGGTTACTGGAACAAGCATTCTCATTTCTAGTCAGAAGCATAAGCGGTCAAAGGTCATGTTTCCTTTGGTTTGGTCACATCCTGGTTCCTTCTCAGTGTTCAGCTTGGGGTGTAGAGTACAAGAGCTTGGTGCATTGTTTGAGTTACTCTTGGAACCTTTGAGCAGCAGGTTTTGAAATACAAGCGTATTTTGTGCTGCTCTGTAACAGAACTCTCCAGGCTCTTTTTGTGTTTGCTGTTGTCCTGTTGCTCTGCATAAATTCACAAAGCAACTTAGAGAGGCTGCTATTGTGATGTCAAGGGATTGTTGCCATGTCTTCCTGGTGTCAATGATGCACCGAAGGCATCAGTGATCAGACCAAATCTTTGCTTGCACGTTGCAGAAGTATCCTCCTGCTCAAGGTGTTCTCAGTGAACAGATGTGTCATTTATTCTCTTCTTGGAGCACAGCACTTGCACAGCACTGCTAAAATGGCTGAGCCAATCGCTGCTGCAGTTTGCACTGTCTATTCTATGGGTTATTCTGGCTATTATTTGACCCATCTGGCACGTAAGTAGAGGTTTTTCCTGGGTGTAGCATAATCTGGCTTTTGTATTGCTGTGCTCTTCCTTAAGGGACTGAATTGATTGTAAAACAAAAACACCACTGAGATACCACTAGTTTGGTAAAGTTCCTGTCAACAGCTTCACCTAAAAAAGGGAGTATCTCTAGACACAGGGTGTGGATGGCATTTGAAATGTAACCTGCAGGGGTTCTGTTCCCTCCATGGGATAGTGTGTGGCAGTGGAGTCTGTCATTTCTCAATTTGCTGGTTTGATCAACACCTTCCAAAATGCAGACTGGCACAGCTTCCCAAAGTCTTCCTAAAAACTGTGCTATTCTGTCCAGAATTGTGGGAAAGCTTCTTTTTTTCTAAATTCTGTCATTAAAGGATTTGACTCTCTAGCTTGACACTTTACTGTGGGCTAAAATAGCGATTCCCTTGGCAATGAAGTGCAAACTCCAAAACAGTTTGTGTATGCTTCTGAACCCAGGACCTGTTTCTGTGCTATTTTAGAGTAGAACTGTCACAGCTAAGGCGGATTTTGGGGAAGATTTTCTGGGCAAGTGCTTTCAGCAAGCTAATGGGAATTAGTGCATGCAATTTATTAAAAAAAAAAAGTAATAGGAAAGAGATGAGAAAAAAGCTGCTTTAGCTGTTGGGTGGAGCAGAAGCATTGACTGCTATAAAAAATCTGTATTTTCTTAGCCAAGTTTCATATTTATTACCTGACCAAACAGGCCAAAACGTAGACACAGCCTAGGACATTGTCCTGTTCTCTTGCTTGCTGTGTGAAAGAACTTTTGCTCCTGGAGTGATGTTGTGAAAGGAAAATGCTCTCCTTTTGGCTTGAGTTGTTCCATGGGATTTCCCACCACAGGCAGTTTTTTAACATCTGGTTCATTTTCATGTGCCCATTTCAGGTCACCTCACCTATGGATGGAGAGAAGCTGATCCTTCAGTGAGTGAGAAAAGAGCCTTTGACGTTCCTGGCGTTTAAAAGAATTGTGGGGCAAGCTGTGAGCTTGGCCTGTAACAGTAGAGTGTAGAGTGCCTACTCAAAAGTGCCAGTTGAGTAGGCTGAAACAAAGACCATTTCAGTGTCTGCAGCAGCAGTAGCTGGCTGTTTCTTATTTTCCATTTAAGGGCTCTTAAAAGATAAAAGCCCAGTTTTGCAGACAGAAGGTTGCTTTCTGATTCTAGCCAGGGTGGAACATCTAATTCAGAACAATATGCAGTACCATCTAATTAGCCCATTTTAATTTAGTTTTAATGACTTAGAATCCCATTTCTATCAAATTTTATGATTTCTCCTTAGTACAGCTGCGTATACAGCTGAATAGAAATAAGTTGATAAATGAGAGGTAACTCCCTATCTCTCTGGCTACTGTCTGTCTACAGAGCACAAACCAAACATCAGCACCTCCTCAGTCTCCCTCTGTTCCTGGAGAAGAGGCCAAAGAGGAGGAAAATTACAACAACCCTCCGTCTGTTGCTGCATCACAGCGTGGACCACCTGAATCAGTAAGCACCAGTTGCAAGCAGAGGGACCCTGCCCTCTGCACAGGCTGTCTAAGTAGCTAAATGAACAGCTCAGATACACCTGGGTATAGAGCTGGACATAAATAAGGTTATAAATGAAAAGTTACTCCTGATCCCTCAAGCTATTTTATGTCTGCAGAGTGCAAAACCAGCATTAGAACTTGTTCGGTCTCCCTCTGTTCCGGGAGAAGAGGCTAAAGAGGAGGAAAATTACAACAACCCTCCGTCTGTTGCTGCACCACAGCCTGGACAACCTGAATCAGTAAGCATCAGCTTTGGTTGGCACTGTCTTTGGTGCAAGGCAGTGTTGCAAGTTTCTGACCAGACAGCACTTGCCGTTCGTGGCTGAAGATGCTGAGAGATGGAGTCCTGCAGTGACACAGTGACTCACTCCAGCCTCTGACAGCTGGAGAATGGGCTTTGGACTTCCATGTTCAGGCATCAGTTTCCTGGGTTTCTAACAGGGGCCATAAATCTCTCTTGGGATTCCAACAGTCTCAAGATAAGAGGTAGCATTTTGTCTTTAACTGCTACCAGTGTAAAAGTGAGTGGCATTGTGCCTTGTGTGCAGGCCCCCTGTCCCCAGAGGAGAGAGTGTTCCAAAGACCAAGCTCTCCGCCCTGCAGGATATGTAAGTGGCACTGTGCCCTCAAGGGACCCTCCCCTCTGCACAGGCTGTCTAAGTAGCTAAATGAACACCTCAGATACACCTGGGTATAGAGCTGGACATAAATAAGGTCATAAATGAAAAGTTACTTCTGATCCCTCAAGCTATTTTATGTCTGCAGAGTGCAAAACCAGCATTAGAACTTGTTCGGTCTCCCTCTGTTCCGGGAGAAGAGGCTAAAGAGGAGGAAAATTACAACAACCCTCCGTCTGTTGCTGCACCACAGCCTGGACAACCTGAATCAGTAAGCACCAGCTTTGGTTGGCACTGTCTTTGGTGCAAGGCAGTGTTGCAAGTTTCTGACCAGACAGCACTTGCACTTGCCGTTTGTGGCTGAAGATGCTGAGAGATGGAGTCCTGCAGTGACACAGTGACTCACTCCAGCCTCTGACAGCTGGAGAATGGGCTTTGGACTTCATGTTCAGGCATCATTTTCCTGGGTTTCTGACAGGGGCCATAAATCTCTCTTGGGATTCCAACAATCTCAAGATAAGAGGTAGCATTTTGTCTTTAACTGCTACCAGTGTAAAGGAGAGTAGCATTGTGCCTTTTGTGCAGGCCCCCTGTCCCCAGAGGAGAGAGTTTTCCAAAGCCAAGCTCTCCGCCTTGCAGTATATGTAGGTGGCACTGTGCCCTCAAGGGACCCTCCCCTCTGCACAGGCTGTCTAAGTAGCTAAATGAACAGCTCAGATACACCTGGGTATAGAGCTGGACATAAATAAGGTTATAAATGAAAAGTTACTCCTGATCCCTCAAGCTATTTTATGTCTGCAGAGTGCAAAACCAGCATTAGAACTTGTTCGGTCTCCCTCTGTTCCTGGGGATGAGGACAAAGAGGAGGAAAATTACAACAACCCTCCGTCTGTTGCTGCACCACAGCCTGGACAACCAGAATCAGTAAGCACCAGCTTTGGTTGGCACTGTCTTTGCTGCAAAGCAGAGTTGGAAGTTTCTGACCAGACAGCACTTGCCGTTCGTGGCTGAAGATGCTGAGAGATGGAGTCCTGCAGTGACACAGTGACTCACTCCAGCCTCTGACAGCTGGAGAATGGGCTTTGGACTTCCATGTTCAGGCATCAGTTTCCTGGGTTTCTGACAGGGGCCATAAATCTCTCTTGGAATCAGAAGAGGTAGCATTTTGTCTTTAAGTGCTACCAGTGTAAAAGTGAGTGGCATTGTGCCTTGTGTGCAGGCCCCCTGTCCCCAGAGGAGAGAGTGTTCCAAAGACCAAGCTCTTGGCCCTGCAGGATATGTAAGTGGCACTGTGCCCTCAAGGGACCCTCCTCTCTGCTCAGGCTGTCTAAGTAGCTAAATGAGCAGCTCAGATACACCTGGGTATAGAGCTGGACATAAATACGGTATAAATGAAGTTACTCCTGATCCCTCAAGCTATTTTATGTCTGCAGAGTGCAAAACCAGCATTAGAACTTGTTCGGTCTCCCTCTGTTCCGGGAGAAGAGGCTAAAGAGGAGGAAAATTACAACAACCCTCTGTCTGTTGCTGCACCACAGCCTGGACAACCTGAATCAGTAAGCATCAGCTTTGGTTGGCACTGTCTTGGGTGCAAAGCAGAGTTGCAAGTTTCTGACCAGACAGCACTTGCCGTTTGTGGCTGAAGATGCTGAGAGATGGAGTCCTGCAGTGACACAGTGACTCACTCCAGCCTCTGACAGCTGGAGAATCGGCTTTGGACTTCATGTTCAGGCATCATTTTCCTAGGTTTCTGACAGGGGCAATAAATCTCTCTTGGGATTCCAACAATCTCAAGATAAGAGGTAGCATTCTGTCTTTAACTGCTACCAGTGTAAAGGAGAGTGGCATTGTGCCTTGTGTGCAGGCCCCCTGTCCCCAGAGGAGAGAGTGTTCCAAAGACAAAGCTCTTGGCCCTGCAGGATATGTAGGTGGCACTGTGCCCTCGAGGGACCCTCCCCTCTGCTCAGACTGTCTAAGTAGCTAAATGAACAGCTCAGATACACCTGGGTATAGAGCTGAATATAAATAAGGTTATAAATAAAAAGTTACTCCTGATCCCTCAAGCTATTTTATGTCTGCAGAGTGCAAAACCAGCATTAGAACTTGTTCGGTCTCCCTCTGTTCCTGGAGAAGAGGGCAAAGAGGAGGAAAATTACAACAACCCTCCATCTGTTGCTGCACCACAGCCTGGACAACCTGAATCAGTAAGCATCAGCTTTGGTTGGCACTGTCTTTGGTGCAAAGCAGAGTTGCAAGTTTCTGATCAGACAGCACTTGCCGTTCGTGGCTGAAGATGCTGAGAGATGGAGTCCTGCAGTGACACAGTGACTCACTCCAGCCTCTGACAGCTGGAGAATGGGCTTTGGACTTCCATGTTCAGGCATCAGTTTCCTGGGTTTCTAACAGGGGCCATAAATCTCTCTTGGAATCAGAAGAGGTGGCATTTTGCTTTAACTGCTACCAGTGTAAAGAAGAGTAGCATTGTTCCTTGTGTGCAGGCCCCCTGTCCCCAGAGGAGAGAGTGTTCCAAAGACCAAGCTCTCCACCCTGCAGGATATGTAAGTGGCACTGTGCCCTCAAGGGACCCTCCCCTCTGCTCAGGCTGTCTAAGTAGCTAAATGAACACCTCAGATACACCTGGGTATAGAGCTGGACATAAATAAGGTTATAAATGAAAAGTTACTCCTGATCCCTCAAGCTATTTTATGTCTGCAGAGTGCAAAACCAGCATTAGAACTTGTTCGGTCTCCCTCTGTTCCGGGAGAAGAGGCTAAAGAGGAGGAAAATTACAACAACCCTCCATCTGTTGCTGCACCACAGCCTGGACAACCTGAATCAGTAAGCACCAGCTTTGGTTGGCACTGTCTTTGGTGCAAGGCAGTGTTGCAAGTTTCTGACCAGACAGCACTTGCACTTGCCGTTTGTGGCTGAAGATGCTGAGAGATGGAGTCCTGCAGTGACACAGTGACTCACTCCAGCCTCTGACAGCTGGAGAATGGGCTTTGGACTTCCATGTTCAGGCATCATTTTCCTAGGTTTCTGACAGGGGCCATAAATCTCTCTTGGGATTCCAACAATCTCAAGATAAGAGGTAGCATTTTGTCTTTAACTGTTACCAGTGTAAAAGTGAGTGGCATTGTGCCTTGTGTGCAGGCCCCCTGTCCCCAGAGGAGAGAGTGTTCCAAAGCCAAGCTCTCCGCCTTGCAGGATACGTAGGTGGCACTGTGCCCTCGAGGGACCCTCCCCTCTGCACAGGCTGTCTAAGTAGCTAAATGAACAGCTCAGATACACCTGGGTATAGAGCTGGACATAAATAAGGTTATAAATGAAAAGTTACTCCTGATCCCTCAAGCTATTTTACGTCTGCAGAGTGCAAAACCAGTATTAGAACTTGTTCGATCTCCCTCTGTTCCTGGAGAAGAGGCTAAAGAGGAGGAAAATTACAACAACCCTCCGTCTGTTGCTGCACCACAGCCTGGACAACCTGAATCAGTAAGCATCAGCTTTGGTTGGCACTGTCTTTGCTGCAAGGCAGTGTTGCAAGTTTCTGACCAGACAGCACGTGCCGTTCGTGGCTGAAGATGCTGAGAGATGGAGTCCTGCAGTGACACAGTGACTCACTCCAGCCTCTGACAGCTGGAGAATGGGCTTTGGACTTCCATGTTCAGGCATCAGTTTCCTGGGTTTCTGACAGGGGCCATAAATCTCTCTTGGAATCAGAAGAGGTAGCATTTTGTCTTTAACTGCTACCAGTGTAAAGGAGAGTAGCATCGTGCCTTGTGTGCAGGCCCCCTGTCCCCAGAGGAGAGAGTGTTCCAAAGACCTGGAGGATATGTAGGTGGCACTGTGCCCTCGAGGGACCCTCCCCTCTGCTCAGGCTGTCTATAAGTAGCTAAATGAGCAGCTCAGATACACCTGGGTATAGAGCTGGACATAAATAAGGTTATAAATGAAAAGTTACTCCTGATCCCTCAAGCTATTTTATGTCTGCAGAGTGCAAAACCAGCATTAGAACTTGTTCGGTCTCCCTCTGTTCCGGGAGAAGAGGGCAAAGAGGAGGAAAATTACAACAACCCTCCGTCTGTTGCTGCACCACAGCCTGGACAACCTGAATCAGTAAGCATCAGCTTTGGTTGGCACTGTCTTGGGTGCAAAGCAGAGTTGCAAGTTTCTGACCAGACAGCACTTGCACTTGCCGTTCGTGGCTGAAGATGCTGAGAGATGGAGTCCTGCAGTGACACAGTGACTCGCTCCAGCCTCTGACAGCTGGAGAATGGGCTTTGGACTTCATGTTCAGTCATCATTTTCCTGGGTTTCTAACAGGGGCCATAAATCTCTCTTGGGATTCCAACAATCTCAAGATAAGAGGTAGCATTTTGTCTTTTAAGCGCTACCAGTGTAAAGGAGAGTGGCATTGTGCCTTGTGTGCAGGCCCCCTGTCCCCAGAGGAGAGAGTGTTCCAAAGACAAAGCTCTTGGCCCTGCAGGATATGTAGGTGGCACTGTGCCCTCGAGGGACCCTCCCCTTTGCTCAGACTGTCTAAGTAGCTAAATGAACAGCTCAGATACATTTGGGTATAGAGCTGGATATAAATAAGGTTATAAATAAAAAGTTACTCCTGATCCCTCAAGCTATTTTATGTTTACAGAGTGCAAAACCAGCATTAGAACTTGTTCGGTCTCCGTCTGTTCCTGGAGAAGAGGCTAAAGAGGAGGAAAATTACAACAACCCTCCATCTGTTGCTGCACCACAGCCTGGACAACCTGAATCAGTAAGCACCAGCTTTGGTTGGCACTGTCTTTGGTGCAAAGCAGAGTTGCAAGTTTCTGACCAGACAGCACTTGCCGTTCATGGCTGTAGATGTCACTGTGTCCTGGAGGGACCTGCCCCTCTCTGCAGACTAATTAGCAACAGGCACAATTAGACTACATGCTTAACTTTGCCATGACCCAGGTTGGTGAGCAGAATCCTACACTGCTCTGCAGTGTAGAGAGAAGGTCGGTCTCAGAAGGGGTGGAACATAGTTCAAAATGGCTGCTCCCTAAAGCTTGAAATACTGAGGTGAACTCAGCTGAACAGACCAGAAAAGGGGAATGCTTCCTGATTCTATTCAGGCGTCCCTTCAGGAGGGGAGGAGAGACACAATTCGTCGACTGATCCGGGGCAAACGGAGATGTTTTCCTCCAGAGATGGCAGTTTTTCCCCCCCAGAGGTGTTTTCCTCCTCTAGCCTTTTCCACCCCTAAAGCCCCCTTTTTATACCCTAAATTTTGGGCCATCCTAAGAGGTGGAACAATCACACACTCTAGGTGGGGTTTGGTGACTTTTCTTATACATGCATTACACAACATGTCTTCCTTCATTTGCATCCTGAGGTTGAGTAAGCTAATAAGTTAATGGGGCTCAGTGAGGGTGGGCAGTTGAGAAATGCCACACATTTCCTGTTAGCTGCCTAAGAGTTTGTTGGAGATTCAGTTACAGATGGACCGTGTTTGTACTGCCCATCTCACTTAGGAATCTGTGCCTCTCCATAGGCAGATAATGACCCAGGAGAGCAGCAGCACAGTGCTTTGGGAATGCATGAGCACATCAGACTTTGAGTCTTGCCATACAAATGTTGTATGGGAAGATTAAACCTGCTTCTCTTCATTTCTGTGCAGGTCCTGCCAGAAGAAGACCGTGGGAAGATTGCTTTGTTAGACATGCCAACTCAGGGAGAGCTGTTTCAAACCCAGCAGCAGTTAGAGCAGCAGGAGGAAGAGCAGAGAGAGAATGGGCAGGTAAACCTGACTACCTAGGTAACAGTGAAGGGCAATAACAAGATCATAAAACATAGGTCTTGGGCCTGAGGAAGTAAGAGCTACCATGGGCATTGAAAGCACAGAGCCTTGTAATCTCCAGTGATCAGCACAAGGAAGGGAGGGTTGCAATGGAAGCAGAGCTGCATGGAGAAACAGAGAGAAGTGGCTGAATTAATGTAATTTTGAGACTGAAATAGGAAAAACTTGAGCTTGATGGCAGGTCCTAGTAACCTTCTCTCCATTTTTGTTTACAGAACATCAAGACAAAACTGCAAGCACAGCTGCCTGAAGCTCAGAGGAAGACCAAGGCAGCTGAGGAGAGACATGAGGAAGAAACAAAAAGAATCCAAGATGAAATGAATCTATTTCAGCAGAGCGGGGATCTGCAAAACGAGATGAGGGAAACAGTGGCAGGAACTCCAGTCAAGAGACTTTCTCTCCCCCTCTGCTTACAGAACAGCAGGGAAAAGCTGCAAGCAGAACTGCAGAGAGCTTGGAGTGAGATCAAGGCCATGGGAGAAAGGCACGAGGAAGAAATGAAAAATATCCAAGAGGATGTGAATCTCCTACTGCAGCAGAAGGAGACTCTACGAAAGCTGGTGAGTGAAACAGCGGTAGCCACTCCAGTCACCAGAGAGGTGTCCTCCCAACTTCTTGCCTTTCCATTGCAGAGAAGCAGCTGATGGGGGTAATCACTCTGACTGCCTTCATGCTGTGGTCTCTCTCACAGCTGATCTGAAGGAGATTTACCGGTCCACTGATTCTTAGCTGTCACCCTGGACAGCTGGGCTCATCCTTTGGCCTTTTGTCCAGCTATAATCCCAATGGATTTCTGCTGGCCTGTTCCCGCTAGCCTTGTTTTTTTGAGGTGTTTCTTCAGGTGAACATGCTGACCCACATATGGAACAAGTTGTCTGTATCCATTGGGAATCTGGTCTCATGTGCTTTCCCTTTCCTCACAGTTTATGGCTGACAGTGAGAAGCTGTAGTCTCTGACTGCTTTGTTCTGTTTGACTTGAGGTGGAAGAGTTGGCGTCTCATCTGGCAGCCCCCAAACTGTCCCAGCAAGTGATTGGCAACAAAGCTCAGCAAGGTCAGAGGAAGGGACAGGAACGGCCAAGGGAGGAGATGCTGGAGGTTGAGCACTTACAGAAGATGATGGAGGAAAAGAAGACTCAAGATGAGGAGGTAGAACATTTGAACAAGGAACTGCAAGCGTGTCTGCAGCGCTTGGAGGGGGAAAAGAATTCTTGGGGGGAAGTAGAGCAGTCATTGTTGCAGTCATCTTTTAGAAAAGCTGCTAAAATAGAATATGAAACTGTCCATTTACTCATGTAGAACCAGCCTTTTGTTTTTTCCAATTCAGTTTGAGAAGTGGACATCAAAAAAAATCCAGTTTAAGAGTCCTGGATGTGGCCTACAGCATCTTCCTAAGGGCTATCATTTGAAATGTGATCTCAGGGCAATCTCTGCCAGCCACCTTTCTGACATGAACTTATCTCTTATCCCAGATCTACATAGACTCTGCCATTGAACCTACTGCTGCAGTAGCATCGTCTAAAGAAACCTCCACTCCCCAGCCTGAAAACTTGACAACGAGCAGTTGGCTCAGCTCAGGCCACGTGGAAGCTTTTCTGCAAGACATGGTAGAGGAGGCGTCCCTGAACATACTGAGTATGTCCTGTGTACTTCTTGTCTGATGGAGCAGCGTTTTGTGTGCAGGTCTCAGCATGAGCTGTGCCAAATGTTCCTTCTCAGTTTAGTGTCACAGGGGCATTTAGGACTCCCTACAGAAACTGTTGTGCTTTGAGTCAGTGAGAACACTCTGGGTGTTCCTACTGCTTCTGAGGGAAGGTTGGACTGGTTTGCATTTGGCTGAGCGTCCCTCTCTGCTAAAGGCAAAAGCAGGGAAATGTTCCCAGATGAGCAGAAGGCTGTGACCTAGTGAGTGACCTAGTGGAGTCCTGTGTGCTAGTGCCCAAATTGATCAGAATATTTGGCTTCCTAAATTCACAGAAGTTGATTGGATTTGAGTTTTGTGGGTTTGTGGGCTTTCTGGTTGGTTGGTTGGGGGTTTTTTGTTTGGTTTGGGTTTGGATTTTTTTCGTGGAGTTGGGTTTTTATTGTCCTCCATCCTGAAGGAACTCTTGTGTGCCAGGTATCTTATTGATGTGGGGTTTATGATTGTTATTACTATCACTGTTACTTCTACAGTTTGTTTCTGTAAGAATGCTACATTTTTGTCAGTGAGAACTCCTTTGAAAGAACATCAGATGACAGCACAAATAGAGAGGAAGGGGTATTTTCAATATGCCCCCAAAGGAAAAAAAAAGATACTTTTATAATCCCTATTTAATTTCTTAGTTTTATGCTTATAAGGATGTATCAAAGAGACACATCTACGTGGTGTGAAAACTGCACTGCAGGCATTCCCAGGAGCGAGCCTCCAGCCCAGCCGCTATGTATTCCTCACATACATGGCATTCTGTCATGGCTGATTCCCAGCCAGTTAAGACTATTAGAATCCTCAGCATTGGCCCCAACCCCTGCACAGAACAGACTCTAGGAAAACACAGCAAGCCCTTTGTGATTCTGCAGGACAACCAATTCAAACTGCCAGTGCTGTGTTCTCAGATAATCACTGGTTGAGTTCAGAACGGAGCCCAGCTTATTCTGTGTCTGCCATCACCTGTTGAGACAAAAAGTGGATTGATCTGCACCTCCTTGTGTCTGATCTCAAAGCCAGTAATGTTCTGTCTTGAATGGGGGCCACAGCTAGTAACAGGGCTCAGTCTGGCTGTGGCTTCTTCATAGTGGTTGTCAGGGCTCACTTGGGCTTTACTGACATTTGTCATATCTGCCCTGCCCCTGATGGCTGTTGTTCCAGCTCTCCTTAATATTTGTAGATGACAAATTTACTTGCCTTGGCACCTGTTCTCTTCTGATCTCTGCCTCCTTTGAACATATCTCTATGTGCTTAGTTTCCTGTCAAGGTAACTCTTCAAAGGACTGTGTAAAAGTCAGTCTTTGTGCAGACCCTCTCTGCTGTGGAGCTGCCAGTCTTGTTATTGTTGTTGTTGTTACCCAGCTGCTCACAAAGGGCTCAGAGCTCCAGACAGTGGGGCTGCATTTTGGACCTCCTGAAAGGCAGCATCTCAATTTTAAAGTGAGCATCTTGCATTTTGTTTCTTTCAGGGAGAATGGTGAGCGTGGGAGATCCTTTGCAGAAATACATTGAATTGGAAAACATTGGCAGTGGGTGAGTCTAACCACAGTTACTTCTACAAAACCATGGGCCAGGTATTTTGCTGGTGTAATATCTATCAAGCGTGAAGTCAGGCAAGCTGCAAACATGTTCAGATTGTCCCATCTCTCAGTGCTAGTCAGAATTAAAACCTGTGGTCATGAGGCATTGTCAAAGTCATCATGATGCTGGCAGTGTCTTACCTGCAACAAGGAGCAGGCAGATGATCTCCTATCCCTCAAGTGTATGGCATCTCTTATTTTCTTAGCAGTAATCATTTTTGTATGTCTCAATACGGCAACGCTTATGAAAGAAGAAACTTTATTGCCTAAAAGAACAACTTACCACCTGATAGCTGTCAGATAACAGTTCTCAGTAACATTTCTTTCCAATACTTTGCTGAAGGAAATATTTGGTGCTCAGGATTATAACCACATAGAAACTGAAACCAGAATAAGCTTTCTTATTTAGCCAAGGCAGTAAAACCCAAAGCTTCATGAATAGACCTGGTGTTGATGCACTTGAGAGGAAAATCATCTGCCTGATGACAGATCCCTCATGGATCCTGCAGCTTTTAGGCATTTACAGCAGAGATTTCCTGTCTGGGCTGGCTTTCACTCCAAGGCCTAAACTGCTTCTCCTTTCTTCTAGGGCTTTTGGAGCTGTTTGTAAAGCATTTGACACTGCCACTGGAGGACAGGTAAGTGTCAACACCCCCGCAGATTCTGCAGCTCTCAAATGCTTTCCCCTCTGGTGTGAGCTGTGGCTGGAGCTTTGGGTCACCAGTAGATCTTTACTGCAAAGGCAAGAGAAGTGCAGACTAGTGTCAGCCTGCAAAAAGCATTTGAGACAGACTTAGTCCTTTTCAGCTATCAGAAAGAACGGTATCTTTCAGAGAAGGACGCCCACCCTAGCTTGGTCTTAATGGCTAAATATGCATCAACGAGGTGATGGCGACTGCCATCATCCAGGCCCAATTTCTCTGAATCACAGGTTCAGACACAGATAGGATTTAGCTTTTTCTTTCATCGTGTCTTTCATCTCTAAAGCACAATGCAAGACCTAATGAAGGAGAGCTCATGCTTGGGTTTTTTATTTCAGTCCTAGAGAAGCTGGTTCACACACACACACACACACACACAGAGATCACTGAGAAGATGTTTATTGAGAGCAACAGTTTCTCCTAAGCAGTACCGCCCTGTTTAGGTCCATTGTCAGTGGCAGCCCAGTACAGGGATCCTCATAATAAGATCAGACAAGGTGGTGTCTTAGACAGTCTCACTGCTCTTTGCGACTACAGCTTCAGATTCCTGAATTCTCGTTCCTGGCTGTCAGCAAATACATCTGAATCTTACTGATAGTTCCTTATCCACCTGCAGTGTTGCACCTTGGAACTGCACTTAGAGAGAGGTCTGCAAGGGGTCTTAAAAGCCCTAAGCCCTGCTTATAGCCCAGGGCTTATCCATGGAGTACCAATGCATGTATTCCTTTTAAGCCCACAACAACAATTGCAAATGTAAAATGTGTTAAGGAATTTTCTTTAGAGTAGCAAAATCAAAATTCATGAAGTGCTAGAATTTCATTTTTGGGAGTAACATTAATGGTCTTTTTTAGATGGCATTTTACCCACAGCGTATGTGTTTCCTTTGTTGTGCAATCCAGAATAGCAGCAGTTGCTGAAATAATGATCAAACCGCACAGAGCTGCCAGAGGATTTCCAGCTACTTTGATACATTTTCACAGGAACAAATTCACTTCCTGCTTGCAAAACATGTGAATGACAATAGTGTTGATAAACTAAGTCCATTTGAGAAGAATGTGTGTGCAGAGAGTGTGGTCAGAGCTTCATGGCTGATAGCTGAGAGACCATTTTTACCAAGTTGACAAGGCAGAACATGGCCACATGTCCTCAACTGACACCCAAGCAGGTGGAGAAATAGGCATTGTAATGTCAGTTCCCAATTACTGTGATGTCTAATCACAAGGCAGTTTGACAGGGCTCGGCTGTGTCATTCCAAAATCACTCACTGCATGTTGGTTGTGGTCTCGTGCCACCGACTTCTTAAGTTTATGATTTTCAATGTCATTTTAGGTGGCCATAAAGAAAATCAGTCTTCAAGAAACCAGCAAGGAACTAACTCTTAATGAAATCGAGGTCATGAGGACAAATAGGAATTCCAACATTGTTAACTATTTGGACAGGTGACCGGTTCTGAATGTTTGTTTACATACTGCAAGCATCCAAGGTTAAAAAAACGCTTTGGTTACTGGCAGAAAATTGAGCTGTTAATTATTAATTAATTATTATTTATCTACTCATCTCCAACAGATGGGAGGAGATTGCATTTTGTCTACATTAATCATTTTTGGCACGCATAGTTCAAGAAGTTGGATCAGCCTTTTCTCACTAAATCAATAGCTGCCTCCAACTGTTTTGCAGTTTTGGGCGCTGATTTTTTTCAAGGGTCTTAAGTGCTGATAAACCATCACAGAAATTATTTCCCTGGGGCTTTTCTCACTCTTTTCTGTTGCTGTGAGTGCCAGGAAGACTAGATGCTTGTCTCCAGAAATACATAGTATGGCAGTTCTTTTATCTTGTTTGTTACTAAACTGCCTTTTATCCTTGCTGGCCATCTAAGACATCTCCTTTTTTACAGATGTGCTTTTCTGATTTAGACTGCACAGATTACAAGCACTGTACAGCCTAGGCAGAATGTCTATTCATTTTATTCTGTCTTCGTTTAAAAGGGACCTGGAAACAAAAATCAACTGTCACCTTTTCCGTAAGGCAGTTTAGCTGTGCACAGTCATCTCCATGTCCTTGTTGTGTTTTTTCAGCTACATTGTGGAGGAGGAACTCTGGCTGGTCATGGAGTATGTGGATGGAGGCACTTTATATGATGTTATCAGTGAGACATGCATGTCTGAAGGACAGATGGCAGCTGTCAGTCGGGAGGTAAGGGATCCTGCTTGGACTTCCGATGGCTTGGACAGGACTGTCCTGCTAAACAGTGGTAAGAACAGGAGTGATTTTCATGTTCGGAGCTTTGTTTCTGTGTTGCTGTTATGATGTGGAAGAGAAAGAGCAACTGAAGTGAACTGCCTGCCAGTGTCCCTGCCCTCACTGTACTCTGTTCTTATAGTCTTACATGTTGTTGTGGTATTCTCTCTCTTTTTTATTTTTATTTGCTCCTCTCCACTTTACTTCTGCAACATTTGCATGAAGCCTGTCTGCACTGCATTCCTTGCCTGTAAAAGCAAACATGCTGGTGGCAGAATTTTAAACTAAGGGCAAAGAGAAATAGAGACTCACTTCTCACAGTCCTCAGCTTAAAAAGATAGCATTGCAACCAAAGTGGTGTTTGCTTCTGGAAACTGACTAATGTGCTATTTCCAAGTCTGCTGTGGAGGCCAGCAATAAAATCTTTGTCATGCAGCCTCCCACCCAAAAGTGATCCACTTCATAGCAGAGGGAGGGACTTAAACCCTTGTTTATCTGGATGGGAGAGCACATCCCTTGCAGCAGCAGTTGTTCTGGCTGGGTTTGCCTTGGCACAACAATTACCATTTCTCCTTCAAAAGCTGATATGCCTTCACTTAGAAAGCTGCTCCTCTACTGGTGTTGGATCAGCAAGCTCTTCCTCTTGATAGCACCGTGTTCGGCCATTACTCACCCTTCTCCTGGAAAGGAAATCTTTTAGAGTAGTTTTCTTTCTTGTGTGGTGAAACCAGATCACTAATTTTTACCCGTCTGTTTCTCTTTTCTCTCTCAGTGCCTGCAAGGACTATATTTCCTTCACTCAAATGGGGTGATCCACAGAGACATAAAAAGTTCAAACATTCTCATCAGAACAGATGGATCTGTCAAGTTGGGTGGGTATCCTTGGTCAGGTGAAGTGTTCCAGGGATGTGGGCCATGGGGCTGCTTTTGAATGACTGCCAGTTCCCCAAAAGTGGTGCTTGTGGGAGTGCATGGACTCCTGCTGCAGCCTGAGAGCACAGGCACACTTTGCAAGGTGTCAAGAGTGATGTTGGCTTGTGTATGCCCCTTCCAGAGGGAGGGAGTTACAATCTAAAACTTCTGGTGAATAAAAGACACTGCTGGGGGCAGTTTAAGAAATGGGGCAGTTTTTGAAGTGGCCAATTCCATAGTTCCTTGGCTACAACCCTGAGGAAACACAACATGGTGTGCTTTCCAGATAGATTCAACATGGCATTCTCACACTTAGAGTGGGGAAGTCTTTTGTTTGTTTTCCTAATTTGAGCGGGCTTTCACAGTATTTGTTTTTCTCCTCAGCTGATTTTGGCCTCTCTGCTCAGCTCAGCCTTGAGCAGAGTTATCGAAACTCAGTGATTGGGACTTCTTGGTGGATGGCACCAGAAGTTGTGATAAGCAAACCATACGGTCCCAAAGTGGATATATGGTCATTTGGCATCGTGGGACTGGAAATGGTGGAAGGAGAAGTTCCTTACCAGAATGAAACATCTGTTCTGGTAAGGTGCAAATACTTAATGATACTAATGTCTTTCTTATCTGTCCCATGTTCTGTCTGCCTTACACAAAGTCTCATTCCCACCACCTTGAACTAGTTCCACCAAGATCCACTTCTAAAAATGTCCTTGGAGCACATCAGCAGCTGCTGTAGTTTTGGTTATGTCAATGGGGGAACCTCAGAAGAGAAGTGGCCTATAGCCATTTTGGCCTTCAGTGATGCTTGACATTTCTCATGTGCTTTTTGAACTCACTTTGAGCTCTGCCTCTTAATGATAAGAATTTTTCAGTGAAGAGTTCAGCAGTGTCATCATTATCCTCTGAAATGCAGGTTGAACCTTCCCAGTTTCAGTTTTAAAAGAAAAAGAAACAACCAGCAAAGCAAACAACCAAGCAGTTCTGCTTGCTTTTTCCTTTATTAACCACAGCACATCAATTTTCCTCAAAACTGTAGCATCTTTTCCAAATCCTATGGATCTGTAAAATTTCACACTTCTAAACCATGTATATTATTGTGTCATGTGTCTGGTTGGCCTGGATAAATTTAGGATCTCATTTTCACAGCCTGCAGCTGGAATTGTATGCCTTGGCTGTTTCTTGGTATGTTATACAAATTGATGAGCTTATTGCCCCTTTGCAGCTTCTGCAAATACTGATTTCAAGCCTTACCACAGACAAAGATTCCCCATTCTCAGGCAACACTTCGCCTTGGGTCTTAAGTTGTTCCAGTTCTTCTGTCTGTGAAGATGACCCTGAAAACATGACACAAGCGTATCAGAACTAGTCTTATCTTTCCAGAAAAGAAGAAAAGAAACCCAAACCCAGCAAGGTTTCTAAAATAGTGGTTTTGAAAGATGAACTGCATTCCCTTTCTTCTCACTGGAAAGCTTGCCTAAAACTGGAAGATGATGGAGTAAAGGCCATATAGTCTGTTCTGCTTCTTGTCTAGTTTTGCTGAAACACTTGGTGACCATATTTCTTTCATAGTCCAAGCCTGCCAAAACCTCCTGTTTGTTGCCTGTCAGTTTCTGGGATGGGCACATCATTAATTGAGTATCCAAATGAGCAGAGGGTTACCATAGGAATGGAATTACTTCTTTTTCCGATTACACTGTGGAAAGTTTTTCTATTACTTCATAAGTGAAGCTGATCTGGAATTTGGAGACTGCTGAGAGACACAGTTGCAGGTGGCTCCTATCTGCCCAAATGGGCATTTTCATCACAATACCTTTGTGCAGGCAGCGTAACGTTTCTGTGTTGAACATCAGGTTCCAAACATTTGTTTCTTTACGCAAGGAATCACTGATGTATTTCCTTGTTTTTCCTCCAGTTACTTTTTTTTATCAAGAACAGAACAAAAAAAAAGATGATTTTTGTTTTATGGTAGCTTAAGGGACCGGGGAGCAGTGCAGAGATGTGGAGCATAGGCAATGGGGTCTGGGAGAGCAGTTGGGGATATGAAAGAAACAGGCAGAATCTTGTGTTTCCTTTTTCTCTAGGCTCAGTACTTGATAGCCACCGGAGGGGCACCCAAGCTGAAGAACCCCAAGCAAGTTTCCGCTTGGCTGCGTGACTTTCTGACCTGCTGCTTGGAGACAGACCAGGACAGGCGCTGGTCTGCCGAGGAACTCCTGCAGGTAAAGTGCAGAGCGACTGCAGGCGGAATGGCTGCCCGAGGGATGCGTCCCTCATTAATTAAACTCCAAAGTATCATGGGCCCCTCTCATATTGATCTCCCATCTTAGTGTTTTTCAAATGAGAAGTGTGAGGAATCCTAGACTGGTTTGGGTTGGAAGGGACCTGTAAAGGCCATATAGTCCAAGGGCCCTGCAATGAGCAGGGATGTCCTCAAGTAGATCAGGTTGCTCAGAGCCCTGTCTTACCTGACCTTGAACATTTCCAGGGATGGGGCACCTACCAGCTCTCTGGGCAACCTGTGCTGGTGTTTCACCACACTTGTAGTAAACCGTTTCTTCCTTAGACCTAATCTGAATTGACACTCTTTTAATTCAAAAATATTACTCCGTGTCCTATTGCAACTGTCCTGCTAAAAAATGTGTCCCCAACTTCCTTATAAGCCTCCTTGAACTATTGTAAGGGGGCAATAAGGTCTCCCCAGGGCCTTCTCTTCTCCAGGCTGAACAAGACCAATTCTCCCAGCCTTTCCTCAGAGGAGAGATTTTCTACCCTCTGATCATTTCTGTGGCCGTGTTTTGTACTTTGGGAGTACACTGAGTTTTACCTGGTGGCAAAAGGGCTGAAGTATAATGGTGCTGTGCACAGAGGCTTGAAATAGTGGTGGAGGAACCCAATGAAACCAGTCCCAGTCAAGTGGGATTTGTTGATTTGGCTGTGGGAAGGAACAGGCTGTGGAAAGCTCACTGAGAGCCTCAGAGGGGCCCTGGTTTGTCCCTCCTGGCACATTCTGAGACGTTTCTGCTACCCAAACAGAGACAGCTGAGCAGGACTTGTCCTGTCCCCAGTTGCTGCCTGGCACATTCAAGCAGATGAGAACTGCTACAGGGTTACTGCCAGGTTTTGTGGCAGATCAGGAGCTGCAGGACATGACAATGGGCTGTCCCTGCTGGGAAGGAACATGCCAGGCAGCACAGGAGGGGCAGGGGATGGAAAGGCAGACACTGCTCTCTCTCTGAAAATTAGCACAGCTCATGTCTACAAAAAAGAGGAACCTGTATGAGCCTTTGCAGTTTCCTGAAAGGACAAACCCTTGGGACAGAAAGCAGCATTCCTAGAGTCTCAGCAGGGCAAAAATCCCAGCAAGCTGAAGACAGCTGGATAAACTGATGAGTGGGCCTGTGATGGCAGGTCCTACCTCACCATGAAGATGGAGGTGCAAATAGGCCCCTCAGTTGTATTTCTGCATCTTTCTGGGAACCAGAGGAGTCCTGCTTGAGTCTGTGAGTTTCGAAAGTCATGGTTCACTGCTTTTTTGGTCTTTTTTTTTTCCTTTGGGCAGCATCCATTTGTAGAATCAGCCAAGCCTGCCTCCAGCCTCGTGCCGCTTATCACTGCAGTGAAGAAGTGGAAGGAAGAGACAAGACTCCAACAACCAGTCGAGGACCATTTTCTTCAGTGGCAGCTCTAGGCAGGACTCAGAATAAAAACTCCACGAAATCTCCAACTCATTTGGAAGATTCTCTTCGTTTTCATCTTTTGAATAATGTGAATTCACATTACTTGTGAATTGTCAGTTGTTTCTTATAGGTGGAAAGTCACATTTATTGGTTCTTTCATGTGGTACGGAACTGGAAAGGGTCTTCTTCCTTCATCAGCTCCACATTGCACTGCCTTTGGAATACTGCTTTTAAAAATCTGCCTGCTGTTCTGTTCCCTTGTCCCTGAGGGTAGTTTTCCAGGGGGTCCTGGGGAAGGGGAGGGGTCCAGAGTAAATCCTTGAAGAGCTGAAATTTTGCTTTCCTAAAGTTCAGGGTCATGAATTTACTCTTCACCTGACCCATATCCCTCAGGACTGTGAACTGCTCCAGTGCGGGATCACTGCAGCTCAGGCTGCCTCCAGCTTTGGCATCCCTTGACTAGCTCACTGTGTTGGTGACCAACAGATCCAGTATTGCATCTCCTCTGGCTGGGTTATTACCTGGCCTGAGAAGTTATCCCCCATGCATTCCAGGAGTCTCCTGAATTGCCTACAGTTTGCTGTGCTACTTTCCCAGCAGATACTGGGGTGGTTGAAGCCCCCCATCAAGCCTGCAAGCACAATGCCTCCTGCAGCTGGAACAGGAAGGTGTCATCAAAAGGTTCCCCTTGGTTAGGTAGCCTGGAATACACACTGACCATGAGGTTCCCTTTGTTGCCTCAGTCTCTGATTCTTACCCACAGGCTTTGACCTCCTTGTGGCTTTTCTTCAGAGACAGCTCTTCACGTGTATCCAACTCTTAACATCTCTGCTTTGTTTATGACTATATGTGAGGTGACCAACCTCATCAAGCAATGGACCAATGTTATCTCTGATCCTCCTTCTGCTGCCTTTTGCCATGGGTGTATTTAAAAAAGCTCTTTTTATTGTCCCCTGCAAGTACTGCCCAGCTTCAGCTCCAACTGAGCTTTGGCCCCACAAATTTTCTCGCTGCAGTGGAAAACACAGTCTCTGTAGTCTTCCTATGTTGCCTCACCTTGCTTCCAACATCCATATACATTCCATTTCCATCCAAGCTAAGTAAGTTCAGCCAGCCTTCCATTTGACATCTGGCACACTGGAATTGCCAGCTCCTGTGCTCTTAAGAAATGGCTCTTAAGTTCATAGCTGAAGCAGAGAAAAACTAAGTTGGTCTAGAAAAATACTGCAGCTACCATCTAGGGAAACAGGAACAGCAAGGAGCAAAAGTCCTTACAGAGAAGCCTGCTGTCTACATTTCAACTGAGCAAGGAGTTTCATTTTCCATGTGCTGAGAGACCAAGAGCTAAGAAGCAACCTTAAACTATTTTTAAACACAGTATTTCAGTAAGAGGCACTTCACAAACATTCTCTAGAAAGCTCCTGACAAGCAATGCGGAAAACAGCTCACTTAGAGCCTGGGAAACGAGAAGCAAGTTAAACACTTTAGCAAGTTGTAAAAGATCATGGAGAGAAGCCACCCCAGGGCTGGGAGCTGGATCCTAAGCCCTGTCCTGAGCTGACCTTTTTGCTTAGAAAATCCATTTTCATATCCATCATTTCTTGCAGGTAAATAGCGTTCCACAGGAGTAATGCCTACATAAGAAAATCATTATTTAAAGCCTTTAATAGCTAACATATCCTGGTTGCCTGGTCTGATAGTCTGCTTTCCACTGCAGATAAAAAAAGGTATGTTGGATATAGAGCAGCAGGATACTATAGGAATTACTTATCATAGTTCCCTGCTTTTCGTAGGGATAGGCCACTTCATTTGCAACTGCCAATACCACTAGGATTTGGTTTAGATCAGTCTTCAGTGGACAAGAGCTCATGTGCTAGCCAACTACCACCTATCTTCACTCTGAAGCATCTTCAGAGCCCTGTTTTTCCTGACACCAGTGCTTATATTCCTTCAAGGTGAATGCTTCTCTCTGTATCACTCCTACTCATCTGGTGTCTCACCAGTGATACTACAAATAATTCAAACACTTTAGACATGTGCAGAGTTCAAGAAACTTCTCACCTTAAAAAAAAAGTTGTATTGGTGTTCACAGGCACATAACAGAGCTTACTTTGCCCTTCCATTCTTCTACCTTACACAGACTGGTGTGACCTTTTAGCCCATGGATACTTCCTGTAACTCTTGGGTCACATTTACTGGACAGCACCTTTTGGTTTGATTCATTATTGTGTGGAGCAATATTGATTAAAACAAACCTCAGGAGATAGGAGCTTCACCACTTACTGGTACTGTGCCTGAGAAGTTAAAAGCTCCCTTTTCCAGCTACATTTCCTTTTCTAAGGGTGTTTTAAAACAGGGTGCCTGTGATCTCTGACTTCAACCAAAATTGCCCTGACTTTGAAATGAGAACTGGCACATTCCCACCAAGTTTCAAGTCTGACAAAAGCATGCTTTCTGCAGTTTTTGAACTTGGGTACTGGGAAGCAACACAGCAGACTCTCTAAACACCTTAGTAAAGACACCATGGTGTGGCTTTTAATCACCTTCTGACCCCATCTAGCTTCACTGCTCTAAAGAAGAGTGAGAGCAGAACCAAGTAGCCTTACCTAAGCCTCAGACTAAAGAGCAATATGAATGTGGCTACTGCAGCCCTCTGATGAGCAATCTGGGCCATAGTCCTTCACAACAAATTTTCTCAGTGCCTCTGAAGACTCAGTGAAATTCACACATGAAATCTACACATGACCAGTTCCAGCCAACCTGGGTAGGCAGCCAGAAAAATAAGCTAGGACAAAACAAAGGGCCTCTTGGAAACTTCACAGCCTGTTTGTAAGGTGTCCTGTGGCCCTTCTTCTCTGTCTCTCCTAGACTGGTACTTCTGATCCAGTCCCTGCCCTAGAATAAAAGGTACATCCCTCTTTCATATAAAAGCTGTGGACAAAGCACCATAATTCTCTTACAGCAATGACACCTCATTTTGTATGGATTTAGGGTGTGTTAGAACTCAGCAGTGGCCAAGCCACTGAAACGCTGCCCTTGCTGAGTCACAAGACAGATTCCTTCATTACTAACTGCACTTAAACTAATACAGAAACCACGAGTAGCAAAAGAGTTCCTTAGTCTGAAAGCAGACATGAAAACAATCAAAAAGGGAAGGTCTGTGCCCTTATTTTGACAGGATACACTATGAAAGTCACAGCAAGCTTATCGGTCCACAGAGTCTGCGCCCTTTCCTGCACAGCTTGCTTTCAAGATTTATCAAAATGTGTTCCAAGAGCAGAAGATATTAAATCTCTTTTTCATGTGTCACACAATCTCAGTTTCTGCCCAGCGTCCAGAACATCCTCATACAAGAGCAATCTTGGCAATTGTGTTTTGTTCCCTATTCCTTGATCTTATTTGATTCCTGCCAGGCTTCATCAGACATTCCCTATGGATAAAGCAAAGCAGTGCATTATTTAAGAGGCTTGGGCTACAACCTTTGCTCATACCCCAACAGTACCAAATGCAGCGTGACTACTCGCAACAGCAAACTTACAAGACCAGGCTGTGAATCTCAAAGCTGTGCACTATTCAACACACGGCAAAAAGTAATAATTTCACGCTCACCTGGTATTGTATCAGCTTTAAAACTCTTTCTGGGCTAGACACAAATAAAATACAGCCTCTTTTTCAAATCGCCCGATTCAATTACCTGCCATGCTTTTTAGTACTTTCAGGAATCTTTTTATTTTCTAATGTGATACAAGGTATTCCCTCCATAACACTGCTTATGTTCCCTTACTCCTTACTCCAGTTCCCATGGACAATGGTCTACCTTGCAAGAACTTCATTTACTCTAGAGTAAATCACTCCTGGCTGATCACCTCCAAACTGGGATCTTTACTGTTGCTGGGAAGATGGTGATGGGCCATTTCTCCCATTTGTTGTCATCGATACAAGGATTCTGCTAGATTGCCTGCTGTTGCTGCCCTGTTATTGTTCAGACAGATTCACCTCCTTACCCTTCATCCTGCTTTAGTTTTCACTTCAGGTATAATCACACTCAGGAGAGGCTGAGAAGCAGGAAAAGCTCCTGGTTTAACCTAAGAATAACCACGAACACAGTGCTGACAGTGAGCAGACCAAATCTGTATCAGCCTTGCAATACAGTGTATTAATGAGTAAGGAGAAGACAAATAAACCAAGACATTAATGGTATGGAAGAAAAAGAAACAAACTAAAAGAAAGCATGAAGACTACAATAAACGATCAAGAACGTTGTACTGTACTTATTTTTTATTTTTTTTAAAGAAATCTTCTAACAGTGCTAAGTTAGTGAACAATTAAGAGTACCATTTGGCTGCAGGCCTCTGAAAGACTGTTTCAGCTGGTGACAGTGTGAGTCACCTCTTTCTGGTGACAAATAACTGGAACTGGAAACATCACTGGACCTATCCAATCTCAAAAGTCTCATGCTCCTTTCCCTTCTCTATTTAAATTTAAATTAATTAAATTAAAATAATTTATATTAATGTTTTAAAATAATTAAATAAAAATAAATTAAAAATTAACATTCTCCTGCTGCCTAGTTGTTTATATGAATATATCCTGCTCTCCCTCACTGTGCATACAGAAGTTCAACAAACACTTATGGAACTTTCCAATGTATTTGAAGATATCTATTCTCACAGTATGTTTTTTTTTACGCAAACTGCAAAATTGATTAACATTACACTGTCATACATTTTCCTGGGTTGAGAAAACTTTAACTGTAACCTGCATACTTAGACTGTCTGCTGTGCTATTTTAAACCCACAAATAACCTTTATGTAGTCCATTGTTTCAAACCTTGTTTTGAACTTAACCATGTCTTTAACTATCAACTGCACACTACTGTAAAAAAAATTTAGTCAAAAACAGGCTGGCGAATAGTATTATCACATTTTTTAAGACAAGGAAACACTGAAATCAAACAATTCTCTCTTATTTTTCCACTTCTAGCTTCAGGAGCTTGTTGTGCCACCTTCTTCCTCACCTTTGTACTGTAGACACATTGCTTGTTCTAGTGGTTAGGACTGATGTTTCAACAACCTAAACCAGCTGAAAAAATCAAAAGGAACAGAATATTTAGTAATAAGTGCATCTGTTTTTCTATAAGCTACAAAGGAAACATAGTACTGTAAAGCAACACTGTATGTTGACAGCTTTTCCTCTACCCCAAAACCAGCAAGCAACACATGAAATAACCACCTCCATCACATTACTTGACATGATCAGTCATTTTTTTTCCTGCCAAAGGAATACGGTCCCAAAGCTGTAGCAACTGCTCCCCAACTTGTGGTTCCAGCTCCTAGAAATGAACAGGAAATTAGAGAAGTTACTTGCACTGCTAGTACTGAACACACAGAAACTATTTACAACAAAATTATTATATGAGGTTGCTTGTGATTGCTTTCAGCCTCCCTTTTGCTATCAGGACATAAATCAGAACTCCCAGCACAGCAGGGTTTTTTTACTAGGGCTCAGCAGAGATAGAAACTTTCATCCACACAGCCTTACAGGCTGTTTGGGGTGGTTTTTTCCCACAGTAAGATGTCAGTTCTCACACAGAGAATTCCCAGTGAACACACCACTGCCATATACAGGAACTGATGCACCATATACTTTGTATCTTCCACAGGTCACTCACTAACTAACTAAAGATCTTTTTTTCCCATATCATTTAAGTTTAATTCTATCAAGTGTGGTGGAGAATGTGGAAAGGCAGGTCACAGGAAATACAGTGGCTCTTGGTGGAATCATAGACATTAATATAACAATTTTAACATTGTTGAGACTCTTTAGATCTTAAGAGCCACTTACAAGAGAAGCCCAGTCAACTCCAACATGTGCTATATTTACATTCCTTTCCTTGTTCTTACAGTATTCTCCTTTCTTTACAACTGGAGAGGTTTTGAAGAAGTAGTGGGAAGACGATACAAAATGTTTAGCTCTTGAATCGTTGAGATGTTTTGGGAAGAGTCAGGGAGAACACAGAAACTGCCACAGAGAACTCTTGTGTCAATTCTTTGGCTTTTTGTAGTGGCATTTATCTTTAACAAATTGGAGAACTGTCCTGAGCTTTATTCTGCCTCAGAACTCTAGATTCTCTTCAAGCTTTACAGAAAATTCCAAGCTATGAATTATTAACAGTTATTTGGGTGTGACAGACTATCTTGGGGAATGCATCAAAGAGGGCACAAACCTCCAGAACCAAAATTACCAGCTAAAAAAACCAAACAACTTCTTTTTGGAAACATCCAGCTTTAAATCTTTTCTTTTTAAACATGTATTAAGCAAGAAACTGTTTTAATTTTCTCAGAACATCTTCACTGCCTCAATAGTAGTTCTGCATTAGCAGAAGGTACAATGCACACCAATGAACTGTGATTCGGATTAACACGTAGTGAGCACAGTTGAGATAAATGTCAAGGCTGAACAAGCTAATAAACAATATACAGTTCTACCAAGTACAGATTTTAGAAGAGATTAACATTACCTGGCCATCTCTGCTTATTTGTACTTTCTTACTGTCGTTCCAAGGGTTGAGCAAATGGTGTGCAAACTGAAAAGGAATGCTTTCTTTTCTGATCCACTCCACCTTAAAAACGCCTCCAAAACCAGCAGATCCCCAGTCCTGACTTTTCTCACACCCAATCGCTGAACCCATTCTAGCAAAACCCTGGAAAAAAAATTCAGGTGTGAAAGAACAGACATAATGAATTCAACAAATTACTGTACTTCACGTGCAACTTTCAAATTAGTTTCATAGTGATTCACATGCTCTCCCTCCATGAAGCTGGGTCTTCTAAAATGTTTACATCCAGAAAGCCAGAAGTATCATTTCTTTTTCCACTTCAAATATGCCTTCTAGAATTTGACTACAAAGAATGTCTCTTCATTAATTTCTCACCATTATCTTCAAAGGTTTTTAAGCTTTGTAACAGAGACTGAAAAGGTGTTGTAAAATCATTTGAGCACAAGGAACTCAGCCGAATGTTCTACTACAGAACAGTCTATAGCAAGCTATTCGTTGTTAGTTGTATTTTTTGCAGAAATCCATTTGTTCCTTCCCATATTCCCTCTACATTAACAATGTTCACATAGAATTAAGAGAGTGCAGCTGTTCTTCAAAGAAAGAAGTCAAGGTTGTTTTGATTCCTTCTTCAATGAAGCAGAACAAAATTCCAAGACAAGTATTCAAAAAGAAAATGAAAGAAATCCCAATCCAAGACTGCACCTAACTTATTTAAGGACACTTTTAAGTAACTTTTAAGAACAGTCAATATAAGAGGAAGTAAGCTGAACTTTCTTCACTTGGAACACCTGAGTTTGGCTGGCTCCACAACACGGCTAACCTGCAACTTTGCATTACCAGGCCAAGTCTTTAACTTGAAACTGGACAGAGATTTGACGAGAAGTTATTGACAAATAACTCACTAAACCTGAAGTCAAGACACAGCTGTGGAACAATCATGGCTGGCTTCCTAACTTTTACAAACGACACTTCAGGCAAAACCAGATTTTAAAATTTGTAATAAAGGTATTTGTGAGTTTCCTGGCTTTAGAAAGGTATGACTTGACTGTAACTGCTTGTCCATTCACAATATTTATTTTGGTATGCAAAGAGCAGCAATTCCCTGTTCGTAACATTTTTTTAAGTTTTTTTTTTCTTTTTGTTGTTTTAAAAGATTAGTGGGTATAAACATTATTCTGACTCATGATGCTTGGAGGCAATTCAGTCTTAGCGTTTCAGGGACAAACTGAGTTAATTAAAAAGGCATATTTCAGAGAAGAAAGAAATACTTCTTCAGCAACCAGAGAGATTTGCATGCTGCTCTACTTAACAGAAGTCATAAGCAAAGCCCTCCACACTACACTCAGTCATTTGCTGCACTCTCCCAAACCGTCAACCACAGCTAATATTTAGTATTACCTTAGGACTCACCTGAAAGCATCCAGACCCTTGAACAGAAAATATTAAGTAAACCACGTTGCTTTCCCAAAAGGCTCCGTTCAGTTTTCGTTCATTACTTGGGGTAGTGGACCATATACCCTTCTGTTGAGAAATATCAATGTTTTGCAAGTTGCTACTTTTCATTATGAAGTACCGAACCGGCATATTTTGTCTTGGTGAAGGAGATTTTGAACCCTGGAAAAATTACATTAAATTAATACAATAAAATAAACCAGGTTTTAGTTCTAAAGTTTTACACATATGAAGACAGAATCCCTTGACTGTGTTCCTCCCCTAGATTCTACAAGAGACATAGGATCTATCAGCTTGTTCTGGCTGAATTGGCTTCAAAATGTATTTCACATCTGTCATTTTTTTAAGCACTTTTCAAAATAATAATTCAACCATGAGGGGCAGCAACAAGAAGAGCAGGACAAGCCTAAATAGTCTAGTGATTAAATACAATTCATCGAGTCGGACATGCCTTCAGATGACACAAAATTAACCATCCTAGACTGCAGCCTACAGAACACTACTTGAATTTCTACCTTCAAGAAACATGCTTTCACCCCTTTACACTGGCTGCATTTAAAAGCTGAAAGACTTTAGAGGAATTATTAAATCCTCCAAGAGTTTCCTCTCCATGATCTATTTAATATAACTGCAGTTTACTATTCAGGTATTCAGGGAGAATTATGGCAATAACCTCACTAAAAATATGTTCTTTGTTAAAATAAGGATCATTAAAAAAACCCATGCACTCCTAATGAGGCAGATAACGCAAAGCTTAAAGAGAATCAGTATTATGCTATTACATAATTACATATTATTATCAGTATTATGCTATTACATAAACAAAGGAAGGCGGAATCTGAAAACTTCAGACATGCATGTACAATATACTAATTTAGATGGAAAAAAATATACCCTCACTGCTTATTAGTAAAAGTTTTTAAAAAATAATCTGATTTTTTTCTACTTTGGATAGCTTTATCTAAGCAGTCCGCAAAGAGTAATATTTTTACTGTATTAAACTAGTGCAACAAGGATATTTAGTCTAGATTTTAAGTTCCAGAAGGAACTATTATGCAGCTGTCATAAATTAAAAGCTAAGTTAGGTTCTTAATTAATCAATAAAATACCCGATAGCTGCAGAAATATATCAGAAAGAAATTCTATTAGTTTTGAAGAGCAGGGTAATATGTTCATGAGAACTCTACCTTTCCAGATACTGGAGAGGAAGGACTAGCACAAGGGCTGGGATAGCTGCTGCTGTCTGCAGGCTTCACTGATGACTGAGATGACCTGTCGTCTGAAGATCGTTTGGAGTGCAAAATATCTTTCTCTTTGTACTTCTTTGGCTGGTGAAGTGTGGGAGGTGTAGGTTTCACTGAAACTCTAAAAAGTAAAGGTAGATACAGGGCATACCATGAGATTCACAAGCAGTCCTAGAACAATTTATATCTACATATCAGCCCTCTGCATGACCACACATACCACAGTAATTCCAAAACACATTAAACAGTAACTAAAAAACCCATACTGATCATGCATTGTTTTTGAATGCTACAGTTAAACCTCTTCTGCTACTTCTCAAAGATGGATTCATGGATGCTATTCCTGACTGCTCTCTCAAACAGCAGGCACATGTATGTGAAATAATTCTCAATGAAAAATCACAACTACAACACAGCACAGGACAGTGTCAAACCTTTCAACTGTATTTCTGCTGTTTTTACCGTCCTATTACTAGTAGAATTCAAGTGGTGCTTTTATAAATAAACACATTGCAACCAACAGTCTATAGAAAACCTCAACATCTTACTTTTCAGCATTAGAGGAGTCAGAGAATTCAGTTTCTGCTGAGCCTTTTCTGATGTTGGTTGACCTCCATGCAGATGCCAAAGGAAGCTCTTCACAAGTCACAGGCCTTGGTCTCTGACCAATTCCTGAAGGCTGCTGCAAACCTGCAGACTGTTCCTCAGCACTTAAAACAGCTGTAATTGCTCTTACAGTTGTTTCATCAACTTGAGACCACGGTTTAGAAGGAGCTCGCATGCGACGCAGGAATAAGCTGTGCCACTTCTGTCTGAGTTGCAAGAGCATTCCAGCAGCCTGCAAGGAATGCCAATTCTGTTAGAGACTAATAAAAGTTAGATCAGACAGGTAAGGGAACCCTATGTCTTTCCTATCAGGCAGCACCTGGCATTCTAATGGGAACAAACTGAAAGGCATGACTGAGGTCTCGGGGAGGGGGGGTAACCTCACATTTAAACTAACCTGTTAAGCTGCTTTTCTTTCCTAGGATGAAAGGTGATTTTTGAAAAATTCATTTAGCTCTGTACTAAACTTAACACTGTATTGCAAAACCCACAGATTTTTTTTTCCCCACTCTAAAATTTTATCTCTTTAAAATAACCCCAATCTTCTCATGCTTTATGCCGTTTCTCTCAATTCAGGCTGTATTCATGCACGCCTCATTCACACCTGAAGAAAAAGAGCTCTAAGTGACATATTTTTCTTACAGAGACTTCTGCTCAAATGAGATGACTAAATCTAGAAGACTAAAGTCTAATTCCCATTTTATCATAAATGCTTTCATCATCATAAAATTTTAAAAATCATGCTTTTGGACATGTCTAGGAGAGACAGTATTGTTATTAGAACTGATAAGTCCAAGTGTTTCATAACCCATAAACTACTCTACCTCCTGCCACAGCCACAGCTCCTGAATGACCTAGAGACTTCTATTTCAATGAACTAGGTACTATGTCAGCTAAGTAACTAATCCTTATTTTTCTCCTGGCTTATAGGTGCAAGAATTGAGAGCTATGGGTAGTAAGTTATGAAACATCACAACTTAGATGGTTGTGATGTTGAATACATGAATTCATGCAATAGACTACTTTGGGCAAAAGGAGATTGAGACCTTGTTTATTTCTTGAGAAGTTCATGAAATAAAGGTTAAATCACAGAGTACCTTGTCTGAGACACCCAAATGGACCATGACAGCCACTCTTACAAGAAATTCTTGGTTAATCAAATGTCACAAAAATCTTTTTAGGTTGGTATGACATAAATATCCTCCTACATGAAACAAGCACAGAAGTGATATATTACTTACTTCAGGGTCCAGTTTGAGATGGAGCCATTCATCCAGCTTCAGAAGTGCCAAATTAGCAATTGTTTTGTCCTCCATCTCACTGTCACTGCTGTCATTAGATACCCCACCCCCTGAATTAAATATAAAAGGTGCATTAACATTTCTATACTATGTCCACTTACATACAAAAAACTGAACACTACTGTATTACCAGCAATAAGCTATTTTTCCTTCCAGAATTTACTTTAAAATGTAAACATTTGTAGATCCATTTTTTATTTTCTACAAATACACCCCAGTGAAAAGTCTTTGCTCCAGTTAGCAGAACTCAAGCAGCCAGACCTGCTGAGGGCTCTACTTTGTAAACACCTTTACTGATGGGATCTGTCTCAGCTCATGTACCTTCATCACTACTGACAACCATTAACAAACTTTTGCCTGAAACTGTTTGTAAACACACACATGGCTCTTTCCTAGTAAAACAGCAGATTTAAAGACCGATTAAGAAAAAAAATAAATTATATATATGGCTATTAACTAGGAATTCTTATTTTCTTGAAAGTGCAATTCCATCAGCATGAACAGTATTCAAAGGTTAACAGTTTAAAAGCAAGACAAGAAAGCTTCAGAAATAACTTGGACTCTGATATAAACTATGAGAACTGGCAGCAGGATAGATTATTTTTGTTTCTATTCCTACAGCACTCAATTTAAATACAAAAAAAGGAAATTTCTAGATATTCTTTATTACTTATAGTTAACAGTACAGCTAATTGACATTAAAAGTTATCAGTAGAAAATGATCTTGAAAATGCATGTGTCAGCTGGAAGCAATATGACTATTTACCATATTGATTATTTCTAAATTACTCAGTTTGAATAATCTGGTTCAAAGTATCAAATACACTAGTCTGCAGAAAAAAACCATATATACTACACTTTTCAGCACTAGTATTACCATTAGACATTCTGGTTGCATTCTTTTTTCCCCTACAAACTATAGTTTAATTTCTGAGACTACAGAACTGTGTAAGTGTAATTTATGGATATGAATCTATATGGATTCCCAAAACTGAGACATTTGTAAGAGAGTCTATGAACTATACTTGAACAGCTACAAGAACTATAACTCTGTTTTCAGAATTAACTAATATATGTAATAAATACTGTAGAAAAATAAGCTTTCCAGATGATATACCAATGGAAACATTCCAAATCCAGATTCCAGTGTACCTCGGAAGGATGATGAAGCCTGCAAGGCATTACTTGGCAGTCTGGCTGGTCCACAGAAGAGTGACACAGTGACAGGTGTTACAACAGAGCAGCACCTGATGTTTGCTATCTTGTGAGCTCTCGTCACTTCATCATATATAAGCCAGTCTGTAGGGAGTGACTGAATGGCTGCAGCTTGTCCATTTGCCGGGGGAATCTATGCAAGAGCAGATAACAATAGGCTATTTTACCCTCTCTTTGTAATTAAAATTAATTTTAAAGTATTTGTTAATTTATCCAGAGAAGGTGTGGATGTCTCAACCCTGTAAGTGCCAAGGCCAGGCTGGATGGGGCTTGGAGCAACCTGGTCTAATGGAAAGTGTCTCTGCCCATGGAAGGGGGGGGTTGGAACTAGATGATCTTTGAGGTCTCTTCTAACTTAAACCATTCTATGATTCTATATCTGTGTAGAAATAATATTTTATATAAACACACACAAATAAAAAAGCATGAGAGAATTCAGCCAGACTCACAAATTATCCTACCACCTTGAAATGAAATAGTTTGCTTTAAAAAAGAAAATTTTCAGAGCAGGACTTCGTCCTGCTATTACAAGCAGGGATCATTACAGCAGGTCTCAAGTTGTGCCAGGGGAGGTTTAGGTTAGATATTAGATATTAGAAAGAATTTCTTTACAGAGAGGGTGGTCAGACATTGGAATGGGCTGCCCAGGGAAGTGGTGGATTCTCTGTCTCTGGAGGTTTTTAAGATGAGACTGGATGTGGCACTTAGTGCCATGGTCTAGTAACCGCAGTGGTAGTGGATCAAGGATTGGACTTGATGATCTCTGAGGTCCCTTTCAACCTGGCTGATTCTATGATTCTAGGATTCTTGAAACCAGTTTTATAACTAGGGGTTCTTGTTTTACCATTTTGTCTTGTTCCACCTAGAGGAAGGACTAATTGAAATAATGGAAAAATAAACAAACTCCCTTTTATTCTACCTAACAGCAGAAAAAATATTTTCTAAAAGTGTAGTTTTTAATGCACATGCTGCTTTTAAAGCACTGATAACTATGAAGAGACATTTCTAAAGCATTTGATAATAGTGCTCTTTTTCGTGAACTATAAATTCAAAGCGATTGTACCTTTTTATACTGAGGTTGACTAAGAACAGAGGTAGGATGAAATCGCACTTTCTTCTCCTTTGGTTCAGTCAAAACCAGACTTTCTCTGTCTACATGCACGAGATTGGGATACATCCCAGCCACCAAGGCAGCTTTAATTACAGCCCAGTTCTCCGAGTTAGTATTAACATCTCTAATATCAGCTCCTCCTCTGGCTCTAACAAAACCTGAAGAAAAAAAAGGATAAATGTGTGCCATGTTTGCTTGTATTTAATATTTACCTTTTTGCCTCTCAGAAGGAATTTGAAAATAAATTGAAATGAACTGCAAACTGATGCATTTTTCACCACTGCCAACCTTAACAGCACCCAGAAGAAACCACAGGGGATTTTATACTAACATAGAACAGAATTAACTTTGAACAATACAGAGACATTTCCTATGGAAATAATTTTCTAAAATGTAAAAATCCAAGGAAACATATCTCACACTGAAAGCCAGTGGCATGTGGAACAACCAGGATTCTTTCAGTTAGATCAGCTATTCCCCAGCCACACTTTCTCATCTTCACCACACCCTGCATGAAGGTGTACTGGTCTGTTTCAAATTAAGTAAGGAGAATTACACCAGTGAACACTATTCTTGTTACAACTTCTTTACTCTTGACTTCAAAGCTATGTTGAAATTTTTTCCAAGCTATTTACCCGAGGCTCTGAGTTGGCCAAGCAACTGTGTTCTCATTCCTACGATGATTTCCATCGTGGCCTGTGACAGGAAGTTCTTTTCACAGAAGGCTCTCTCCCAGCCGTCACTGCGTGCCTTCTGCCATGCCTGAAAAGAATATTTTTTTACATTTGCATATTAATTAGATTAGTTAAAATTTAAAAATGCATTTTTTTAAAAATTACATTTACATCAATAAAATGAAGGCAAAAGCCACTCTGAAAGTAAACATATCAAATCAGATTTTTTTCTGTTTAAGTATTAGATTCTCTTCACCCATTCCCTACACGAACATATAGTGATCGCTATCTGAAGTTATATTTTAAGACCATTAAGTTAGTATAAAGATCACTTAGTACTTCGTATTAAGATTACTATTTTAAGTCATTAGCATAGCAGGATATAAAGAGACACATTGTTGGAACATTCAGAATTTAACAAGGTTTGAAAATACCAACAAAAGATATGACAAAAAGTGTTCCTTCACAAATTTATGAGTTCAGTATACAGGAGTTTCTTCTCAAAGGACTTAATCCTAGTCTACCATACATCCAACTTGATTGGGACATCCTTTGCTTGCATGGGTGATCTACTGTGATTATTACTCTTCCTGAAATGAAGTAATACCTGGAAAGCCCTGAGAAGGGCCATGTGGTCGCTGAAGGTCCCTGCAGCAAAGCGTTTCCTGCAGAGCATGGCTGCACGCTTCTGAGAGGCCAGAGTGGGCAGGACAAAAGGGTCCTGACAGGCCAGAGCACAAGCGATGGTAAGAACAGGGTCCAGGCACTTCAAAACAACTGCATACAACACCATTTTACCAAGGTGTGGCTCTACTGGTAATTCAGTGAGATGATAACCAAGTTCAGTGAGATCTTCCCAAGGGTCCATAGCATCTATTGTCTGTTAAAAAAATATATATAAAAAAGGAGAAGGGGATGAGAACAGTGGACAAAATTAATTTACAGTGAAAGCAGAAAGGATGTGAATACTGGACATTAACTAGAACTGCTGCCAAGCAATAAAAAAGCAAGTCAAACTTGAAAGTTTGAGACAAGATTTTTAAACATTCTCTTCCCTTAATATGGAAAAACACATTCCCACACACAAAATAAAACCAGACAATAAACACAAATTCAAAACATCCTTAAGTAACTAAGCAACAGTTGCAGTACAAACAGAAGTCAGTAAACTACGTTGCCAAACAACAAATAGGGAATCAAATACAATTCTCATCTAAATCTATTCCTTTTCACTGACCATAAGCATTTGCACAGCATTTCTCACAATTACAGCAGGTGGAGGATCAGGAGCTTTCATAAGAAAGTCTACAATTGGACAATTAATTGGAGCCAGCAGTTTTGTGTATAAACAAATCTCCTGCAAGTTAAAAAGCAGAATAAAAAAAGGTCATTAAGATTTGGGGGGAAAAAAACCAAGCACATACTTTTTAAAATTAATACTATGGTTTGATGAAAATACATTTTTTAAGTTATAATTTCTAACTCAACATGCACCTGAAGTGGCATTCTTAGAAGCTCTGGAGTCTGAAATTCCAACATCTTCTGAAATCGGAGCCTGCTGAAGAGACGAAAACAGACTCCAGGCTGACAGCGCCCAGCCCTTCAAAATAAAATATGGGAAGTTGTAAAAATGAGCATTTCATTTTAAAAACAAAACCAACCAACCAAAAACCAAAACACGCTCACAAAACATAGGATGGAAAAGTAGAAAGCAGTTCTATGAAAAAGATGTTGTTAAGTGGAAGTCCCACACAAGTTGAGAGTTTTCCAATACATGGATTATTTTTGATAGTATGCAAAAACAAAAACAAGGCCTATCTAAGTAAAGGGAGGTAGGCTTTTTTGCTAACCTAAGACCAATCCAAATCTAAACTCTCCTTTACTATAAGGAGTTTAAGTTGTAAACTTCATGTCTTACTCTTCACATCCCCCAAACAGTTCGAAGTTAAAAGGCAGAATGAAGACTGAACAGGTGGTGAGTGAAGGGACAGAGACAGCAAATGCTCACATTCACGCTCTAATTACCCACAACTTATTGGCAATACCATGTCACTAAACAGGCATTTGTTGCTACTTAAATAAGCTTCTCAGCCCTCACCCACAGCCCAGCCCACAGCTGGGAAGAACATGATCATGACCAGTAGTTTGGAGAAGGGGAATAAGGAATCATTGGTCAATGTTTCTTCTAATAAAGGAACAATGGAGCATCAATTAAAAACTAGCAGTGGGCAGTTCTTTGCCCACAGACAAGTTGTGAAACACTTTATTGGACACTGGCTGCTGGTGCTACATGGGAGAAAGAGGAGCAACATAAAGCTCACGGGGTGAAAACAACCTAGACCTAATGTAAGTTTTGGGAAATTCCTCAGCATCACTTCTCTACAGCTTGGGAAATGACTCCAATGAAATACATGCTGACCCTTATTCTTCTGTAGAGAATGACTGTTGGCCATTGTCCAACACAATACTGAACTAGGCTATAAACGTTACCCAGTGTGGCTGCTATTATATTGTGTACTTTATTCTCAACATACCGGACAATGGATATCTGCAAGATAAAAACTGATATGAGGCATTTATTACCTGCCTTTTCTCTGGATAGCGCTGGCTTTCGAAATCCATGCCGTTTTTAGCATTGCAACATGACTCAGTGCATCAAAAGACTTCTATAAAAGCAAAGTAAGGAACATAAACCCAAGACTGAATAGGGTACATGAAATAAAAGCTACTAGTGATTTATACTATCAACAGAAGTTTTCTAAATAATATGAAATTATAATAATAAGCATCATCAGCTTCTGGCATAAAGGTATGTTCTGAAGTTCTCAGTTTCAAGTAAACTTCTGATTCCATCTTCTTCACAGTATCTTTGTTTTACACAGTTTTCTAAATTAAAGTTTTCTAGTCAATCGATAATTCTCAGACACGGATTGTGTTTTGAGTTATCACAAACCACACAAAAATATATTATTACACTGAATAAAGTCTCCCTCTTTGTCTCACTTGGAAATTACATCCTTATTTTTCTACATTTGATGCAAAATTACAGAAAAAGTTATATGCAGAACTTCAGAAATTTGGTGTGCATATCTCCTATGAAATCCAAACTGATTTTAAAAGCCATATACTAGGTCTTAAACTGCCTCATTATTTTATCTCCCTCTTCTTGAACAAAGAATTTGGAAACAGGCACTCAACACATCAAAACCAATGCTTAAAATCCTAATGGATTAGACTTGGGCTTGATACAATAGCAGGACAAAGGGAATTCCCAGTGTTCTTTAAGCCTCAGGAAGATGGAGAACTGAAGTGATGGTCTTGTTTTAAAAATCAACTAGAAATACTAAATTACAAAAAAAAAAAAAAAGAAAAAATACACCAACATATCAATCTACAGTAGCTTTTACAGGGTTTTAAACAGCTATTTTACAGCATTTGTCATAAAACAAATGGATGTCAGAACTTCTCAGTGAGCTTTGTTTCTTGACATGCACTAGCTGTCAGCCTACTGTAAAAAAATAGTTCTTCAAAATATATCTATTATGTATTTTAGAACAACACTAGGAATTTTACTTCCCAAAGAAAGTTTAAGGCAATCATACCTCTTTCACCTTGCCCGAGTCAATAACAAATACAACATCATTGACTGTTATGCTGGTTTCTGCGATATTTGTAGAAAGAATCTGCAATAAAAAGAAAAAAAAAACAACCAAAAGTATAGTAGCTGTAAAACCAAAGACAAAACACATCAATATCAGCATCTGACAAAGTCCTCTGATACTTGCTATTTTGCGGATGCCAGAAGGTGGACTTTCAAGCACTTTCTTCTGATCCAAAGTCTGCACACTTGAATGAAGCATGAAAACTTGGTATCTAACACAAGATAAAGACCACATTTTAAGGAACTTTAAAAGAAGCAATAAAAACCTCAATCCAGCCACATAAACTAAAGCTTTTACCTGTGAGCATTATCAGCAAACCTCTTGTCATCAAAAACAATACGGTCCCTCAGATTCACTATCTCGTCATATCCAGGAAGAAATATTAAAATTGCTCCTAAAAAAAAGTGGGTTTGCAGAGTTAAACAGAAAATTCACTTCAAATATATGTCAGTGCCATGTAGACTAGCACCTGGAAGGTTTTAACTATTTGGGATTTCTGAAAAAAAGAGCATGATTCATCAGAAGCTGAATCCACAGCAGTTTATTGGAAGTGGGTGTATATACCTACCTGCATCACAGCTATGACAGATGTTATGCAGTAAGTGCATAATCAGATCCAGATCCACTTTTTCATCATCAAAACTGTGATGATAAGCTGACAACAGCTCTCTGTCCTCTGCACTAAGGTCATTACCACTTGTTTGGACCAGAGAACTTTCATCCAGCTTTCCAAATCCAAATGAAGCACTAAAATAGAAAAATACACAGACCAGAGTCAAGGCTGTTTGCTTTGGGTTTGCATTCATCATCTCAAACTTAGATCAAGACCAACATGACCACTCACCTCAAATTTTAATTTTAAAGTGTAGCAGAACAGCATATCCACAATATTATTATTGTTCACTAATTTAAGTGTACTCTAATAAAACATGCAACTTCAATTTTTAGTGTTAACTTGAATTTTCTTATACTTCATTGAAACAGTCATAAGCAAATGTGACAGAACTCAAAGTATAAAGAAAAAATACTTGTTTATTTGCTAAAGGAAAAATATTTAAAATACATGTATTTTCCAAAAATTTCTCACTATCAGAAACTACATTAAGAGAAATTGCAATAATACAGATTTCCACAAAACAATAACTAAACTATGATAACTCTAAGTTAATAAAAAAACAACTCTTGAATGGCCTAGTGTACATGTTACTCCTATGAAGTTTCTTTAATATCGCTATTGTGCATCAACAATATACAGATAAAAACACAAAACAGATTTGTTTCCAAAATAAGTATATGAGATTAAAATGTACCTGGTATAGAATCAACATCTCTGTGTATTAATTAAGTTATTATGATCACATCCTGCCCATCATGATAGGAATGTCCATATCAAGATGACAAAAGCTAATAATATAAAAGTAGTCCTATACCACTATAACTGTATTTATCTTAGAGTTGTGCAAACATAATCACTATGATTCTGAGTACAAACAAACTTTTCTTTTTAAATAACTATGTTTTTGAAAAACTTCTATTCTTAAAAAAAAAAATCTTGCTATTTAGGCCAGATTTTAAAGAAGACAAAACATGAATTTCCCTTCAACATGTCACACAACTCTTTCAGCAAAGCAGTTATAGCTTACCTGTAAGATTCCAACAGGTCAACAACTTCTGTCTGTCCAAAGCGCTTAGCCCAGTCAATAGCCATCCTGAAAGAGTTGCAGAAAAATCCTTGCTGGATTTCTCACTTCAAAAGACGCATATGAATAGCATAATTGACACCACACTTTTGTATCAATTTCTGTACTGTAATCAATGCTGTTATTGCTGGATCTGCAACTTCCTGCTTTAAAGTGCATAAATAGGTTGTAACAACCTTTCTGATTTTTAATAACTGCAGTTCTTTACCACAAAAGAATAACAGTTTTATACAGAAGTACATGCAAACGTACACAATGAAATGAGGAGGAAGAATGCACCATACCTTCAAAAAGCACATGCCAATGCACACAGATCAGCCATGCCTTTTTGCAGTACCTTCATATTATCCCACAAAGTTACACACCAGGCATTTTTCAACAAAATGTGGGAATACACTGGGCTATTTGATGTTTTACAGGAGGTTCCCTCCTCACAATGCAGTTCACTGCATTCATTACTTTTTAAACTGCATTCCTTCTCCAGCTTTGCAAGTAGTAATGCCAAATATGAGACCACTAGAATCCCAATTCTAATCTTTCCACAGTACAATTCTTTGCTAATACTTCCCTGTTTATATGAAGACACAATCCATGGCCACAAAACTTAAGTTTTTACAGATTCACAAATATTTTTACATGATACAACATATTTATAGACATAACACAAAGATCTTCTGATACAGGTTATCAGAAAACTCTCTGAAAATAAGAATCACCAAACATTTTGGGTCCAATTCAATCAGTGCAGTGAAAAAGATCATAGTTTTTCTTCTAAACGGTGTCTTAAATCAGACATATCAAAACCAAGTGTATAGCCCATAATCGAGACTGTGCAATTAAGAATTCAGTTTAGAATTTACAGAAAACAATGTGATGAACAGAAGTCAGAAGCTCACAAATAGGCTGTCAAAACCTATTAGTGCTTTTGGTAAGCTAGAAAATTCTATGACATCTAAACTAATTTTCTTTCTCGCTTCTGTATTGACAAATAAATCTATCTTTCAGTTTATGTGTTTGTTATTACCAGCCATTGGATGATTTGCAGTGGATACTTGCTCCCATACTGATCAGCTGTTCCACTTGACTCAAAAAGCCTCTCCCTGAAGCAATCATTAGAGCAGTCGCGCTTGTTTCACTGTGCCTATAATCAACTGAGAAGGAAAAAAAAAATCAGCAAACCCAAGAGAAATGTTATTTTTTCATCTAAATGTAGTACAAATATTACTTTTAAAATTCAGCCCAAAGAGAATTTGTTTCTCACTTCATCCCTGCAGTCAGTTCATGTGCATTAAACACTATTTTAGAAACGTAACTTCTGTCAATACTTCAAAACAAGTACAGCAACAAATAACTAAAGTCATTAATTCTGCTAGCCCTATTCATTTTTTTCAATAGGCATCGGAATGCAAAGGAAACAAAATCTGAAACTGGAGACAAAAGCAGGCACAGAAATTGAAATAAATTTGCAGTTGCTTTTTTCTTATGTAATAAGATGAGAAACCTACCGCTGACATTTTCAGTTAAAATGAGATGAAACACCTGAGCAAAGGAATCAATATCTTTATGCAACCAGATGTCAGAAAGACAAGAGTCCATTTCTTTTACTAGCCACGGTTCAAGGCAATTCACATCTTTTTCAGTCTGAAGATAAGAAACAGCATTGAAAGATTAACCTCTTCCAAAAGTTGTCTTTATTCTCCTGTATCACCCACAAAGAATTTGAATGGTTACTTTTCCAAGTAACAATCAGGAATCCAGCACTCAGATATCAGTTAAAGCATTTATTTTATCCCATGCAAGTACTTCAAGTAAGTGGCAGCTGAGCCACTTGAGCTGAGGAAAAGTTATGTACAACCATTATAACTGAAAAACAAGCTTCACCTAGAGTAGTTCATTCTAATAAAATACTCTTTAAAATACGTTAATATCCTCTGTAATATCTTTAGAAATAAAATTAATATCTTTAATAGTAGTATCTTTAAAAAACAGATTATAAATGGCTAGTAAATATGACACAGATGCAAAAACTCTTTCAACAAAAGGAAAAACTTACCAGTTGATTAAATACTGTGTCACCACCATCATCCAACATATGATACTCTTCAGTTGCCCTTGGCACAGATTTTTGTCTCTGAGGTTTCAGTTTGCTAGTATTTTCCTGAGGAGAACACCACTCAGTGAGAGTGTTTTTCTGTTTCTCTTCTAGAATACATAAAGTATTTCCCAAAAAAAATGTTAAAGTCATCATAATTATCCATTTTTTTCCATTAAATAAGCAGTTATATCAGGACATAGCTTTACCTATCCTAATTCTTTTATTTAATTGAGAAAGTTGCTACCAATCCAACATAAATTCCATGATTAAGGGCACACAAAGTGCACCATTGCAAGCATCTGCTGTAAGAACAAGGAAAAACCCACCATTTTGGCGCCTAACACTCTAAGCCTCCAGTATTCCAATTTACTGCATTCAAATAAGCTTCCTAAGTAACTATCTTCTACACAGTCTCAGCCCAGATCTTTCTCCAGAAGTGAAATACCAAGTAGAAGTTATACAACTCCTCCATGTCACAACTGATTTTTTGTGGAGGTTGATTTTTTTTTAAATACTCACTAGGAATTTTAACAGAAAGCCATCCTATCAGCTGTTCCATTAATGAGACTCATTGCCAACCCTTACCATTAAGACCCCTACCTTGCTGCTTCTCCTTTTTGTACTTGACCATCTCTTTATTTGTATACCCAGTGCTTCGTAAAATGTCCTCCAGAAACATCTCTTTAACTTCAAAAGGTCTTTCTTGGACTGAAAGTATAAATAATTCATAGAAGATTAGAAATTCCTTAGCTTCACTTTCAATACTAATTTTAAAAAAATCATTTTCATAGACACAAAACGTGGATTAAACATTATTAGGGCCTGACTTAAGGCATCATTACTTTCCTTGAAAATTTTTGCAAGAGTATCTTCACTGGAGTTTATTTTCTTAAAATTACTGGGCCACAAACATTTCAAAAGGGAAATGTCAGATGAATACCTTGTTTCTCATTAACCTCTTCGATTCTACTAGGTGTTACAGCAAGAGATGATCGTTAGATTGACAGTTATTAACTGCAATTTTATCAAAATGAGTAAAAGAAAACAGCCATTTTTATCTAAGGTTTCAAAATAGTCACTAATAAAGCCTGCCACCTGGACTACAAAATACAAGAGCAATTAATATGGCTTTAGTGAAAGATTCCACTGTTATCTTCGTATTGAACTACTTTCACAAGAAGTATATGAGGAGATACAGTTCTCTCAATTTCCTCAACTAACTCAGCCAAACTTGGCTTTCTCTACTGAATATTTCCTGACAAATGAGACAACCCATTGGCCTTTAGCTCCTAATAATTTATCCTGATTTCTTTTTCATCATGACTGTTTTCTAGACCTTATTTTTGAACATTAAGGGATGCTTTTCACATGGAAGAATTAAAATCTCTAGATTTTAATTTCTCATCCCTTAGCAGACATACCACAGCTGAGTTTAGACTCAAAGACTTTCCTTCAGAAAGAAAAAGTTACAATTCACATACTTTTAAAAGCTGTCATGGAGGAATTCTTCCAACACTGATCACACACTTAGTGTGTACTACAGGAACTTACAACTAAAAAATGTTGGTTTCTATGGTCAGGATTTTGTCAGCTATATTGCTGAAGGAGAATCAAACCTTTTTCATTACATTAACAGCCAAAGTATTTTAAACGCTCTTCTTTTAATTTTTATATTCTCAAAAAATGGAAAAATAAGCTTTTCAATTGTAATTAGCCCATTAAGTTTAGTATAACAGTATAACCACTGGAGAAAGAGACTGCCATCAGAATTTCCAAAACAAGCCCACTGGTCTAAAAGAACAGGAAGCGGCAAAAAGAGTAAACTGAAAGCCACACAACAATTACAACTGAGGTTTCCCCTTGCAAAAAAAAAAATTTGGAGAACACTCAAATCATGGGTAATTCCCAGATTCCTGCCTCCAAAAAGCTTCAAGTCTTATTTTACTAGGTAGGAATTCAGAACTGGTAAGTAGAAATAAAAACTTCTATCTATAAAAAAAGGAAAAAAGATTTCTTTCTCACAAACATTCACTAAAATAAACCACTGATTTGTAGACAACACTCCAAACAAAGTGATCCCAGCCATCTCCTAAAACTCAATATTCTTTAAAAAGGGCTGACATGGAGACAGTCTATTTGATTGGCAAATAAAGGATTTCTCTTAAAGCTTCTTTTCAAAACACATAATATTTGGACATAATTGTTGGAAAAGAGGACTGCAAGGTGCTAGAGGAGGTAAACCATGCTGAAAACCTACAAGTCATGAGGGTGGGAAAATGAAAACAAACCCACAAAAAACCCCACATCTGCCACACACCCTACCTCTGCTAAAGATCAGTTAAATGAAATTAAAACAGCAATAATGATAATTTTTCTCTGCATCTGAATGTAATCTAACTGCAGGTTTCTGACTCTGAACATAAATTAACAGAAATTGCATGTCTTTCCTGAATATTTATCTAGATGAACTGCTAGGACTTTCCTTTATAATCAAGAACCATGCCATTAGAAATGGAACCCCAGTTTGCCTAGGACTGTATTTCTCAAGTGAACATGTATAGTTATCTGTGTTTTATCCAGTAACCACTAACAATGACTATGAGGCCTGATGAACTAGAGCCTACTGGAATATATTAATATATAACACACTGTTATAGATCCTAGGACCTATGTCACCACAGAGACAAGCACTTTAACAATCTTTTCCTGCTTCTTGAATTGAACATGAAGGGGGTCAGGATATGCCTCCATTTACAGAACTCAACAATAAGAATATTACTTCTCTCTGAATTAGGTGCAAATAGTTATGAAATAAGAGAAATTAAAGACATGAAGAACAAGCACTGCTTTAACACTCAGTGTATTCATCATGTGCCTTTACTCAGACTAGTCTGCTACAGTTTAATAAGATCTATGAGTTTTAGGGCAGGTCTACTTGGATTTAAGAGTTAAAATACATACTTACTGTGTATGACAGGGCAACTTCCAAAATACCTAATAAAAAGATTTGCATCTAGAGCAGCACTAGAAATAATTAATCTTAAACTATTCTGGTTTTGCAATACATCTCTCAGTTTTATTAACAAGAAGTCACTGAATCTATCCCTCTCATGTACTTCATCCTAAAACAAAAGGAAAAAAAACAACCAAAACCAACAGATAAACATCACGTATTTAAGAACATAACTTTTGACAAATATGAACTTCTTTTAAAAAACTAACATATATAATTAGTGTCGCATTACAGAGGCACAAAAATGTGTAAGTGTAGTTTAAGTAAGGATTTTCTTTAACCATCCATAAGTAAAAATGTATTTCAAAAGGTTTTATAAAGATATCAGAGCAGAGCACACTGTAATACACAAGTCAAATACATCTTAACTTCAGAGGTCAAAGTGAATGTCAGAAACTTCTCTAATTCTTGTATCTAAACCTCACTTTGAATAAAATGCCACAAACCACAAATCCTATAAATATTATTTTAATGAATTCTCATTTCACAACTGATGAGCATTTAAAGAAATATATGATAACACATAGACAGAAAAAAAATATAGCCTGTTTATACAGTCACGCAAAAAGCTTATCCTCAATTAAGGCACATGGTTGATTTATCATCTGTGTCATTCTTCTGTTTCCTTTTATATTATGAAACAGGGACCCAAATGCAAGATCAGTAAGCTGAAGTCAGGAATGTATGAGTCATTTTCATGGTGCTTTTTTTTCACTTTGATAAACAGGCAGGCACATAAAATTATCATGATTTTTCTGTCTTCAGCAGTGGAGAATGTAATATTGTGGTAAACATTCTGATTCCACTAACTTACCAAGTTCCACAATAGGAATATTCACATAATCATAAAGCAGCACACTTAGATAATCTGCTAGAAATTAGACTGCACATTATGTTGAAAACACTGGGCAAACAAATGGACCGCAAACCTGGTATTGCTAAAAATACATGACAACAGAAATTCAGACATGCTCACATTGAACCACATCTACATAAGCCTCCCTCAGGCTTTTCTGCTGACAGAGGAAGTTCAGAAAAATTTAGATGTCTGTCGTCCTGAACCACATCATAATTCCACAATTAATTATTGGCATGAACCTAAATAAGATACTTTCACAGGAGAAAACAACAAACAAAGAAGCGCCAAAACACACAAAAACATGCACGTTACAATAAAGAATCAGTAAGTCTTTGAAGCCAATTCAGATTCTACCACACAAAACCACCTAAAATGCTCAACAACTGAATAGAGAAAATGAGGACCTCATCTTCCAATAAGCAAGTAACACATACTGCTCCCCCCCCCATGGAAGACAGCAGGTTCCTTACCACAATAACATGTGTCACGGTTGACAAAGTGCTGTCTCCTGCCATCAGCGTGCGAAGCAGCATGTCATTAGTGCAAAACGTTACCAGTGTCTTTGGAGAAACCCTATGGAACAGTTCAGAAAGACAACTCAGGTTTTCTGCACCACCTAGAGGCTGCTAGCTTTCCATGGCTTGAAAACTAAAGGATTGAAGAGCTGCTCACCATAAGAGGAATTACAGTTCTCTCACCAAAGAATTCATGCAGACCACTTGTTTATAAACTGTGCCTATTCCAAGACAGCTCCTAAGGATTCTTGGTATTTATGCTCCAAAACTTCAGACAATGGGTTAATTGAAAAAGCGAGATTCAAATTTTAACAAACAAATAAGTAAGTGAAACAGAACCTTGAGAACCTCTCCATGTCTTTCCATTTACTGGAAGATCAAACGTGAACTGCTTTGGAAAAAGAGATTCCAATTTTTCAGCATATGCTTCGATATAACCAAGCCTACATGTGGTGGCCTGACCCCGGCTGGATGCCTGGTGTTAACCAAAGATGCTCTATCCCTCGTCTCCTCAGCCGGGCAGGTGAGAGAAAATACAGTGAAAGACTCATGGGGTCAAAACAAGGACAGGGAGACACCAGTCACCAATTACTGTCACGGGCAAAATGGACTTGGCTTCAGGAAATTAGTTTAGTTTATTACCAATTAAATCAAGAGTAGAATAATGAGAAATAGAACCAAATCTTACAACACCTTCCCCCCATCTCTCCCTGCTTCACAGGACTTCTTCATTCCCAATTTGCTCTGCCTCCTGTCCCCAAAGGCACAGGAGAACAAGGAATGGGGACTGCAGTCAGTTCATCACACACTGTCTCTGCTGCTCATTCCTCCTCATGGGGAGGCCTCACACTCTTCGCCTGTGCCAGCATGGGATCTCTCCCATGGGAGATAGTCCTCCACAAGCCCTTCACTCATGGCAGTTAGCTGTGCCAGTAAAACCAGCAATTGCCACTAATTTCTCCAGTACTGCAATCCTAAAGGAACTGAAAACTTCGTGTTGTACTCTACAGCTCTTGTCTGGAAGACATGAGGTCACTGGATGTCATTCCATACTTCTTGCATTTCTTTCCAAGACTGGATTTAATCCCTCCTTTCAAAAATTCTCCTACATATTAAATTCAAGGAACGTATACTAGACAGGAATGCTCTACTTTCTCTTTACATCTCTACCCTTCTCTCTTCTTCAGTAGCCTCCAAGAAATAGTCATTACTAACAGCTAAAAATTAGACTTCAGTGTTACTGTAAACATCTCTAAACACCTCCACCCCATTTTTTTTTTTTTTTGCTCAGTGATGGAAATAGTGTCTTATCTCCCTTTTAGTCTTTCTCTAGAGTAAATTTATTGATTGTTCTTAAACTGGATTTTCCACGCTGCTTCCAGTAATTCTTCCATTTTAATCTGACTTATACTTTGCTGTTCTTCTGCCAGCATAATACTTCCACAAACTAATCATTCAGCTTATTTGCAATATATCTTTACTAGCTCTTTTAATCCCTTAATAGTCTTGTGAGATTTCATATGCATATTCAAACTCATAACTTGGCCTTGTTGCTCAAGTGCATTAATTTTCATTAGTTATGTGTTATCTTCACCCATGTAAGCAACATAACCAGCTATCTTTTTACCTTTTGCCATCTTCTTCTCAATCATATCCCAGCTGCTGCCCCTTCCTGAAAATCCCACTAGATACACAGTTCAAAGAATGTAAAAACCCTAAACAATCTTCAGCCTTCAATCCATTCGTGCTCTGCTTTAAGAACAAATTCATCAGATGACAGAGAAATCTCTTTTATATCACTTCATGCTTTAAATACAAGAGCTGAAGCAAAGTAAATTTAACCCAAAGTAGATTGGTAAATAATGCTCAACATCATCATTCACTTTGCAATTTTGTTGTTTCCCATTTTATGTCTCCATGCTTGTCTTCAGACCTACCTTCAAAACTTGCAGAACTTGTGGACCCACATGTTAGAAATGGGGGGGGGGGGGGGGGAAGAGAAGAAACAAAGAGGAAAGTATAGACCTGATCTGAAAATAAGACAAGGATTTACACACACACGCTCTCCCTAGAAGACAGTAGCAGAAAGCACTTGCAATTCAATTCTATAAGACAACTTACTACAAGAAACTGCAAAAACAGGAGCAAAACTGTCCTTTTCATTCTTCATTTGTTACCTGCAATGGCATATCCCACCTATATTTTATACATGGAGATTTTACTAGGCTGTATCCCAAATATACTGTAGTTTAAATCTACACAAGACTTACAATACCAACACATGATCAACTGACTTTAAGAAATATCCATAGTACCTGCTTTCCAAGCGGATCTGATAACCAATTGTCTGGCCAATCTTTTCTCTTCTTTCTGCTGCCACTCTTTCAGCCACAGCAACAGCTGCTAAACGTCTTGGCTGAGTGCAAAATACACGACAAGGAGTTCCATTTTTGTAACAGTCGTCAAGAATAAACTGAGGGATCTGTAAAGAAGTAGTTCAAATTTACTTTTTAGTTTGAGAAAGTCATAGTTTTTTACCACAGTGAAAACAATTTAACTGCATCTCAATATTACATAGGTTGCAAAAGGATTCACAACAGGATTATCATTGCAAATGTACCTGAAGGGGCAGAAAGGTAGCAAAAATAATTTTCTGATTTTAAGTACAATCTGTTTTTTAAAAAAAAAAAAAGTTGAAGTGTCTTTCTCCTGCTTCAGAGTAATCTATAAAAAAGGCCCTGTAGGTAATCTTTTGTATTAGCACAAAAATATACTACTTGGATACTAAGAATGGAACTAGCGTGAGAAGAAAAAGGGCTAAAACAAAACTCACAGCCACTATCCCTTCAATATTATGTATTATTTTAATGAAAAAAATGGTACCTATCAGAAAATTGTTCAGAACCATTTATTTTTAGCACATATCTGCTGGCTTAGTATTTCAAAAGCAAAGAAAGTGAATTGGCACACAAGATTTTTGATCATACAAGAAAACAAAAGCCTTAAAACTGCAGAAAGAAATGCGTTATTACAAATATTACAAAATTGGCATTAGTTTCATATAAATACTGTTATTTTCTTTATTTCATTAAAGAAACATACTTGAGTAGTTTTTCCTGATCCAGTCTCTCCAATAATCAAAACAATTTTATTGTCCTTTATAATTTTGACAATTTCCTCCTGTTTTTCAAAAACTGGTAATGACTGCCTGAAGGTATCAAACTCTGATTCCCCTCTTTTCACTGGAACTTGGGGGATACCATCATTAAGTCGTCCACTTGTCTTGTTCACTTCTTTGTTTTCTGTGAAGAGAAGTTAAGAATTTACTTATACAGACAAAAGAATGGAAGAATGGAAGGTGATTAAAACACTGCTTAAAAATTGTACTTAAAAATTAACATTCCTGATTTTATATGCATTCCTGTAGGTAAGGTGTCAAACCCATCACACATTTAAAAGACATATTCATAGCAACATGTCCTGTTATGGTGCTTGAAATAAATATTTTTCATATGAGTTATTACTTTCATAAATATTTTGAACAAAAATGGACTATCTCAGTGCATTTCTCGAAGTCAAAAAAGGTTTCAAAGACCAAAAGAGAAATTAAACCATGGAATAGCAGCCTGGCACATTTTCTTGGATGTTTTATCTGCATACACACTCACATCTGCACAGTTTGCCTACAAATATCCACTACAGAGTTAAACCTTTAAGCTATTCCAAGCATGTCTTCTGACAAAAATTAACTTTACTGTGATTCATATGTCTTCTTTCACATCCTCACTGGTCTTTCATGACCTCCTTTCAGTCAGTCTTACATAACCTAATGCTCTAGCCCAAGATTTGCCTTCAATCACACTATTGGAATCATGCTGTACCTAGAGCACAGTGTGATATATTAGAAAGCAAAGTGAAAGTAGCCAAAGAATCTGCACATCTGAGGAGGCTACTTCAAATTCAGCAATGCTATTCTGTAACTCCTTGATAATTATTTGCCAGAAGAATGAAAAGCCTTCTGTAAACTCAATTATATACATTTAGTGTCATTAACAGATTCATACAGTAAATTGTAATCTCTGTCTTACCAAGACAAATGCAGATCAATAGATCATGAGAATCAAAAATACATTCTTTGGAAACAGAGAAAGATGAATTTTACACTGTTCATGAGTTTATGCCCGACATTCCTAAGGAACTGTGTTTCAGTACTTTTATTATACCTTCCGTCTGTTCATTAAACAATCCTATCAAAGAACTGAAACAATTGAAGAAATAGCAAAGGAAGCACTTAAAGCATCAGAAATCAGAAACATTCAATGAAACCCTTACACCAAGCTTTGCACAGAAACAAAACTCTTACACTCAAAACTGTTAAAGCAATAATGCTGTTAAAAGCATTGTTTAAAAAAAAACCAACAAAAACATATGAGAAGTTTGTCTTCCAGTGAACTCTTCTGTATTCTAGAAATCAAAGAGTCTGGACAGTAGTCTCTTAGGGACCAAATCTATTTTATAAGATGGAGAAACAAAAAATAAATTTCTTGCTTTATCAAAAACATGAATTTCTATACGCAAGACAGCCAACCTCATTTTCTCATAAGGATGTTCCGACACAAAGCCACAGTAACACCTGACTCTTCAACCTCACCTCATGGAACTTTTAAGAACCTGTATTTCAGAAATGTATTTCCAAAAAGATTTGGCTCAAAGATTCTAAATTAATTCAGCACAAGGTAGACATTGCAAAGTGGGTGATATGATTGCCCAAGTTCCTCACACCACCAGTAATAAAAGACCTCTTATTAACAAGTAAAAGTCAAGAAAATTAAGGTATTTGTTTAGAGGGAAGGGTATCAGGACAGGCAAGAAGACAGAACAGAAAGGGGTTTGTTTTGTACTTGGGTTGTAAGCAGTTTTTTCAAGTGTTGTTGATTGACAAGTCCCCATGAGATGACACACAGACCATACCAGATTCAACAGCACATGTGTTTCCTCGCTCCGTCTTCGGTAGAAGTTCCGTGCGTTCTTTATTTGTGACGGGAAAACTCTGAATTAAACTCCGAACTGCCTGTTTTGTACGGAGAGCCAAGTCACAAGTCATTACTGCATGTGTTAGTTCTGATACATCCTTCTTCCTTACAGTCAGGTATCGATTTGCTCCTTTTCTGGGAGGGGAAAAAAATAAAAAAGTGTTTTATGAATAAGCAACCTACTCTAGGTTAATTCTTACCTGTCAAGGTATAAGGTTCTATGCAAAAACTTCAGAAAAAACAGAGTAGATCATGGTGAGAAGTCTTTTTTATGGAGTCATGAAATCCACAAAACAGTATAAGCACAATCTATCTCAAACTAGCAAGTCAGAAGTTTTTCTAAGCAGGAAAGCACAAAGATACTTATTTTTATGCTTTTAAAACTTTTTTCTCTAGTAGTATTCCCTGCAACAGTGCGGGATATGCTGGAAACATGCATCATTTTAACACTAGTCATGAAATTCCATAAACCTGCACCAAAAAAAAAAAGAAAATTGGGACTCCAACTTACCCTTTACTTTTAGATACCAGTCCAAGAGACTGACAGAGCTGGTGAACAAATGCTCTTTCAGTACTAGTGAAACTAGAAGGAAATTCCATCTCTAGAATGATAATTAAAAAAAAACACTTAACAACCCAACAGGCAGCATTGTTGACGTATTATCTCGATGTTACAGAATCAGAGGGCCGTGAGGGTTAGAAGGGACCTCTGGAGATCATACAGTTCAACCCTCTTGCCAAGGCAAGGTCACCTGGAGTAGGTGACAAAGGAACATGTCCAGATGGGTCCAGAATGTCTCCAGAGAGAGAGACATTCTGCCCAGAGCACCAGCCAGCTTTCCAGTGCTCTGCCGCCCTCAGTGGAAAGAGGTTCTCCCTCATGTTGAGATAGCACTTCTTGTGCTTTTACTTTATGGCTATTGCTCCTGGGCACCACTAAAGATCTGGGACCATCCTCTCGGCACCCGCCTCTGAGATATTTACATGTATTAATGAGCTGCCCCTCCCAGTTTTCTCTTCTCCAGACTTAACAGGGGCAGCTCCCACGTCTCTGTCTCCATGAGATGCTCCAGACCCCTCATGATCTTTGCTGCCCTCCACTGGACCCTCTCCAGGAACTCCTGGTACCTCTTGTACTGAGGAGCCCAGAACTGGACAGCGCCCCAGACGTGCCTCCCCAGGGCCGGGAACAGGGGCAGGATCCCCTCCCTCCCTCGACCTCCTGGCAATGCCCTTCCCAAAGCCGCGCCGCGTGTCGCCCGGGCCGGGCTGTGCAGCGCACCCGCCTCCTCCCCGCTGCGGAACCGCTCCAAGGCGAGCTGCACCGCCATCTCCACCTCCTCGTCCACGCGGACGTCCCTCAGCCCCTCGGCTCGGGCCCGCACCGCGCTCGCCGCCGCAGCCGAGCCCCCGTGGCCCGCTGGGGCTGTCGCCGCGGCACCCTCCTGTGTCGCGACATGACCGCGACACCGCCCGGGGCTCCGACACAGCCTGGGGGCAACAGGTGGGGGGTGCGGCGGGTTCTCCCTCGGCCGGGGGCAGACCACGGAGGCGGCGCTTGCGCGGGGTGACCTACAGCCGGAATCGCCTCTTAAACGGAAGGAAATTCCCTGTCCCCGACCCCCGCAAGCCATTAGGCTGTTAATGCGTGAACCGTCATGACTTCTAAAGTGGCTCTTGGTATCTGTTTGGTCATAAATTATTGTGATTTAATTGAATGACATTAAACCTAGGTGTGGCAAAGCTTATCGCAGCCCTAGCCTCTTCACTCTAAAGTATTACTTGCCCCTGATTTTGTAAAATGCAGGTAATTTTTCCAGCTGACACTCCCAAAGGAAAGGTGTTCAGCCGTCTATCGTCATGCGGGATCTGTGGGTGTCTTGAGTGTTCTTTAGGTCAGTAAATAACCCTTTGGCTGAAAGCCCTTGAGATCGCCTTTTCCTGTTGTCCTTTGATTTGATGCTGAGGACATGAGAAAGAAAAACAATGTAAAACTTCGACATGACACAGGACTCACTATTGAAGGTTGCTACTTTGGAAACATCATTCAAGTCAGAAGGAGAATACTTTGAAGAAGAACAAACTACTCCTCAATTGTGAACTTAAGTGGAGAATTAAATCTCATGGCTAGGCTTTGTGAACAAAGATTTGAGAAGGGCTCTACCCACATTTGCTACAAGCACGCTCATGGTTAAAGAGGCTAATGCAAGATAGACAAGTCTGGTTGCAAAAAGCACAGCAGAAAGACTCCTTGGATGGTATTCACAAGACATGATTCTTTCTGCATTATTTTTTCTCCTCGGGAGTGATCCTGCGTGCGTTCTCAAAAGAAGCAGCAGCGTTATAGATGGTGTGTCTCCAGACCTCCTGACTGGAGGCCAGAGTAGACCAGTTATGTTGATCAATATGGCCAAGGCTGAGATGTTGTTTCAGGGAGTCCTTGTATCTCCTCTTCAGGGCTCCTCTCATGTGGCAGCCAGTGGCAAGTTCACCATAAAGCAAGATCTTAGGGAGGCGGTGGTCCTTCATCCTTGAGACGTGCCCTGCCCAACACAGCTGTGTTCTCAGTAACATGGCCTCAATACTTGTGACTGCTGCTTGTTCTAGAACAGAGGTATTGGTCACATAATCTGACCAGTGGATGTTTAGGGGAGAATTACCTGTTAAGAGACCTCTACCAAAGCTATGTACAAAGCTCATTTCAGCATAGTTCTACACTGAGAGATAGCACTGGAGCTGAAGGATTGCTCTATTCTAAGGTTACTTTTAAAATTTTCTGGTTTTTAATCCAGGTACCTGCCTATCAATCTTCAACCAAAGTACTTAATGCTAGTTCCTTCTAGTTGTTTCGGTGACGTTCAGTACTGTCACCTCAGAGAACATCACATTTATTATGAAAAATTAAACAAGATAGCTGAACAAGATGAGGATTCTTCTTACATTCCTTGGTATCAACGGTAATGAATGAGAGCTCATAATTCATTTGAAAGAGTCACATCAATAATCTTTAATTATGAACCCAGATCTGTTACCAGTTTCTGTCTCTTAACAGCATCATTTTGCCTTTCTACAGAAAAAAACCTGTGTGATTATGAAAAATGATTCCTTAGGTCCAATTCTGATCTCAGTTTGCAATCTTGTGTGTACAGCAGCGCACAGAGATAACAAGTAGCCACTAGGTTAAGTCTCATCTATAGAGCTAAAAGTGCGATCAAGCCTGAGTGCATCCACCATAACAAATGTCTTAATATATGGCTTGTTTCTTTCACTGCTTTGTTGACTCCCTGATGCTATAAAGAGTGAAAAAACAGGAAAGTGTAGTCACTCAAATAAAAGGACATGAGTCTGATACAGTGAGGATACACAGAAAGAAAGAATCATTTTTATATACTGCTGCTGGAAAGTAAAGCTGCAGCCTGAATTCACAGCTAGTGTAACACTGATGGTCGCAATACACTAAGCTTTAATCTGTCTTCAGGAGTTTAAACCAGGAACTCATTGGTAAAATAGAGGGAAGCCTGACTCGGTAAACTAAGAGTATTTGAATTTACATGTTGTAAAGATGAGTGGAGTGCAGGCACACTGAGCACTATTTAAAGTATCTGTCTGTTATACATTTTCACTATAAATACACCTAAAACCTCTTCAAACAGACAGTCATTCTTCCTAAACTGCTGATACAGACAAGAGGAGTCATGATTCAGCCAGATTTTCACCCAGCCTAGCATTCTAGTTCCAGGTCAGGTCCGTATTAGAAATAGGAGTAAAAAAAGAACATATAACAGATCATTCTGGAAAACATATATACAAACACTTTTTGTCTTTGTTTCTTAGACATGGAAGTTTATACAGATTCTTTGTACATATTCTGTTAATAAGAATTACTAGCTGTGGATTTTCTTAGAATTAACAACCTGTAAGTCTTTAAAAAATCCTTTTCCATGATTAGCCTCAGAAAAACCTTTTGACTAAGGTTTACTGAAAGCAAATAATTCCTGGCCTAATTTTTTTTCAATTCAAGTTATTTCTTTCTATCACCATGTGTCCAAATGCCCATATATTTTTTTATGGCAAGCATTAAAAGGCAGTGGAGTTTTATGCAAAAATACATCTGCACGTTCAAATACAATTAGGCATTCTTATTTTACCCTCCCCAGAGGCACTTTAATTATGCAGCAGATTTCGCTGACTTCTCTTTACTCTGCAGAATATTTTCTTTCTTGCAAATACTCTAGAATTCCACAGAAGATGTCATTAATAAGAAAAAAAGAACTGCAAAGGAAGTTTATGAAACAACATTATCTATTATGTACTAGCTGTGTTAGATTGTGTCAGATTTAGCTGCAAAACAGTCTTTTTTGGGGGTTGATTTTTGATTTTTTTTAAAGATTTTAAGTGTTTTAAGACTTGTTAGCTCTTGAAATATGATGCAAGGATCACTGGTGAGCTTCAAGATCAGGTTAATGAAAGAGCACAAGATTTATTTTTTTTTCTAAGTCCTTCCTTAAATAATTTTGACCCTTTTGAACAGTTTAAACCAAAAATGAAGGAGGAGGTGAAAGATTCAGATGCCAAATTTCTTAAAGCTTAATGAAAATAGGCAGCAGAGTAGAAGATAGAAATCCTATTCCTATTCAACTGAATAGAAAGTCTGCAGTCCTTATTATGTAAAGGAAAGGCTTAAAAATTGCATCAAGTCGAGAATAAATTTTAATCAAAGTTTTTATCTTATTAACTCTAGAAAATCCAACTATCCACACACCTCTGTTAGGAATTCATGGAGCCAATTCTGTTATTCATTCCAGTCTTTTACAACTGACACTAATTTTTTTCCCTGACATCATTCACTGCCAAAACATTTCCTTATGAAGGGTTTCAGGACAAGGACAGTAAGAGGCCTCAGAGAGAGGGTATATTGTCTGTATAGACACCTCACTGACTTTATTAGGGATTTGTACATTATCTTAAAATCCCTGTAACACCTGTAATCCAAAATTACTTTCATTTCTGCACAAATCTTGCATGCTTAATAGTTTACCCTGGAAATCTACCACAGCAGCAGCAAAAAGTGAGCAGTATTATACACTGGTCTCTTCGTTAATATCCCGGGGAACTTGGAAACTCCATAAATACCCATGTTGAAGGTTCCACTGTCGTTGTAGAACAACTTCTCTCAGTCTCCACTTGCAGGAGTCCAGAGCCAGGGCTGTTGAACTTCGAGGGTAAAACTGCAACCCTTCAGTGGAGTCCAAGGCATCCCCAACAGGGTCAAATATGCCATAACTATCTCCACTACTCACTCCTAAAATGAGAAGCTGTCATTTCCAAGGTGAGCAAATTACAAAAGGACAGGAGGGACAGTGGAACGATTCTGCACAAAGAGATCTTGTCTAGAGCATGATATAAAGGCAGCAGGAAAACTGCAGGAATCCCGTGCCTTATAAGCTTGAGGGGTAGACTAAAGGCAGAAGGATTTCATACCTGTGATTCATGTGCTTGTGTCTTTGCTGAAACTGGAACTGAGAGGAACAAGTATGTTCCTTAGAGAGATTTGTTTATCCAGAATGTAATTTCTGTTAGAACACTGTTTCACTGAAATATTTTGACCAAAATTATATCTGTGTTGCAGAAATTTTCTGGAGCACAGAACATGTTTAACTATCACAGCCATCAGTAGCCTGCAGAAAAAAAATTATCAAGTTACCTCACAGTCACAGTCTACAAATAGGCCATTTATCTTTACAAGTGTCCCTATTTTTTACAATCAAAGTAGTTAACAGAAATATAGCTTCAAAGAATATATTTGATAAAACATATTGAAAGTATTCAATATTTTTTTACATGTATATGTAAGAAATGCAGGAACTAAACTTCTAACATTTTCTCATGTATGGAGATCCAAATTGTGGATCCATATGCAAGATCCAGAACTAGCAATTTGTATGGAGTAGGAGAGCAGTTGAGAATATTTTTGGAAAAAGGGGCAAACCTGTTCTCATTTATATTCACTAACAGCAAGAAAAAGTACAATTTTTAAAACAGAATCGTTTTACAAGGTGGCTGAACATTTATAAAGGTGAACAATGAATAGTCAAAAGTGGCATTAGTATTCTATCTAAATGAAAGCATTTTCAATCTTAGATAAAATATCTCAGTTTTGCAGATCACCCTTTGGAGCAGGAGGGAAGAAAATCAGAAAAAAATCAGAACAATTTCACAAGAGAAGTTATTTTCTTTTGAATATACTGGTTTAGGAGTTTTCTACCAGCTCTGTTTGATAAGACTTCCACGGTAAAGTCTGCACAAGATTTGCATTTCTAGCTGGAGCTTGAAATCTTAGGTCTGTGATGTAAGGTGGATCTAAAGGAAGTAATGTAAGAAGGGTAATACAGTGACTTCAGACATCAGAATTTCGATAAGAATTTAACTAGCAATTTACTGGCTAAAATTTCCCAGCCA